GTGAGAAAGAGATCGTAGACATCTATGATCAAAAACAGTCAACCTTTTCATGTCTTCAACTCGTATTGGCCATGTTTCAGAGCCATAGAGAAGGACGAAGCGAACTGATGAGCAGTACACACGTCCCTTGGTTGATAGTCGGATGTCACGCCTACGCCAGAGATGGTGTAAGTTAGCGAAAGCAGCTCGAGCTTTTTGGATCCGTGCTGAGATTTCGTCACCAATCAATCCGTTGGTGGTGGATCTATATAGAAGATACTGACTGACTGACACTTAACATTTGTGTTGACAAATAATAGATTTCATTTTTGATCAAAGAAATTTGATGTACACCTTCTTTACAAAGTGTTTTAGTACTACTACTACTACGCATAATTTATTTGTAAAACTTTTAAATAAAAAATGTGGATCAAATTTCTTACTTGAACATTACAATAGAACAGTGCGAAAAAGGAATAAATCTAAGGCCAAATTAGTAGACTGAGTGTGTATGCTCATATGCATATCAGTGGAACAGATAAAAAGGAAAAAAAGCTAAGGGTGGATAAGGAGCAAAGATGATACTTCTGCAGTGCTAAAACGGGACCTGCACAGTTCATTCTTGGAGAAACTGAACAATCTATCCTCCCAGAATCCAGTTTACTTCGGAATCAGGCAGAATCAGACGTCGGTGAACTACACTGTTCCTAGACTGCCTAGTTAAGTGGAGGGAAAACGAACATTTTAGTATATCTATATTCAGGAAGAAAACCCACACCAACAACAAATATTTAGACTTCGGATCATTACAACCAATCGGCGCAAAGGTATCAGCTTTTTCAAGTCTTCTTAGACGAGCACACTCTTTGATAACGGATGAGAAAGAATAATAATAATAAGAAATATCAAACATTAATGAGACTACCCAACGAACTTCATCAAGAAAATCAACACTAACATTAAATATGGTCGAAAAAGTATTCCGAAGACATGGACCCCAACAGTTGTCATTCCATATAGAGCAGAGACGTCAGAAGATATCAGAAGAGTACTCAATAAGCCCGACATCAGTGTTTTCTTCAAAACATCAGACACACACACATACTACAAAGCAACCTTGTCCATATAGAAAGACAAATCCCTATAGATTCTCTACCTAATTGTGTCTATAACATAAAATACTTGGAATGTGATGCGATATACACCAGATAGAAATCAAGATCAGAAGAAATGAGCACCATAGAGCCGCCTCTGTTTGACCACCGAGAAATTCAGTTGAACTAGAAAAGCTTGAAAAGTTATCAGCCATAGGTCGTCTACACGCTACGCTTTAGAATCAGGTCACAAAATTGATTATGGCAATATCGAAACCATCATCCAGAAAAAGCGTTTCAGAAATCACAAAGAACGTCTAATATCATCAGAGGCACTTCATATCATCATCAAATGGAATCCAAATTGTCTGAATAGGAATGATGGACTAGAATAGCTCCCGCCCCCCACTACACCATGAAATGACAAAATCAACACGAATGTGATCAGCAATTTCATTGTGTAAACACACACGCTGCTTTTGTATAATTTTACACACTTATCAAATCCAACCAAATAATCTACACCTGGTTTTGTTATCTTTACACCAATTGGTCAACTTGACAATGCAAAAATGACCCCATGCTGAGGAAGGATGATTAAGTTGTTGCATAATATAAGCTGAGTGGATTTTGTAAATTCTTCGGGTTTAATATTACTACTTTGATAAAGCTATTAGCAGCACCATTTGAAATAGCGAAATGTCAATGAAAACATCAATATCAATTTGTCTTTTTCACTCATTCATTGGGATATATAAAAAACCTTAATTATAATTGTATATTACACGTTAAAATAGACTTTAATTTGGACCATTTTAGGTTAGCTTCGCCGATGATGTATGTCTGATTTCCCACAAACTGGAAGATATGCAAGCGAAAAGCAACAAGTTGGCCGAAGAAGCATCCAGAGAAGATAGGCCTTCAGGTGAACATAGAGAAAACAGAGGTGATGAAGATTCCTGGCCAACACCACCAACAGCAACAACAACAACAGACAACAATCAGCATAAATGGGAGGAACCTGAAACAAACAACCTCCTTCACCTACCTACCTACCTGAAAAGCATCGTTTCAACTACAGGCAGACGGAGCTGACGAGGATATCAAAGCGAGGAATCGGAAAAGCAAGACAAGCTTTCACTACTCTCAAGTCTGTGTGGAGGTCAACAGCACTCAGCATCAAAAATAACATCCGGATTTTCAACTCCAATGTGAAGTTAGTGCTACTCACTATATAGATTAGAGACTTGGCCAGCGCGTCATAAAGAGCATCTCAAACAAACTACAGACCTTCATTTACAGTTATCTTCGCTCAATACCACTCAAGAGCAGATGGCCGGCCAGAAAAGATCAGCAATAGAGATCTCTAGGAGCGTTTATTTTATAGACACAATTGGATAGAGAATATTTAGGAATTTGGCCTTTTATATGGACAAGATTGTTTCGTTGTGTGTCTGATGTTTTGAAGAAAACACTGATGTCGGGCTTATGGAGTACTGTTCTGATATCTTCTGACGTCTCTGCTCTATATGGAATGACAACTGTTGGGGTCCATGTCTTCGAAATACTTTTTCGACCACATTTAATGTCAGTAGTGTTGATTTTGTTGATGAAGTTCGTTGGGTAGATGTTTTGCTTGAGAGTCTCATTAATGTTTGATATTTGTTCTTCTTTTTTTTCTTTCTCATCCGCTATCAGACAGTGTGCTTGACCTACGTCTATTTTCTCACCTCTTAACTCTTTGTTATATGTATATGCTGAGATTTTGTAAATTCTTCGGGTTTAATATTACTACTTTGATAAAGCTATTAGCAGCAGCATTTGAAATAGTGAAACGTCAGTAAAAACATCAATATCGTTTTTGTCTTTTTCATTCATTCATTGGGAAATACAAAAAAACCTTTATTATGAAGAGGCAAAGAAAGTAACATAAACAGAGAGAGAGGGAAAAAATCCACTTCATTAAACACACATATATATATATATACTATTGAATTGAAAAATAAATAGAAATATAGAAATACAAACAAACAAACTGACCAGTGAAATAGAGAAGACATATAAAAGGGGGTTAGAGAAACAATTATTCTTATTTTCAGGCAAAATGCGCATATATTGTAGGGAACAAATACCCACATCACTTGACCAATAGATATAATCGTATATTATGATTTGTTAATTTGTTAGGAAAAGCAATAATAAGAATAATAAGAGAAGAAATTTTTACTAGAAATTCTATACACCATACACACTTCTTCTGATGTGTGGTTGTGTTCTTTGAGCTGGATACTTAATTTGCGAAGCTTTCATTGCCCTTCTAGGCAACGCCAGCACACCTAACCTTATCGTGTCTTCCACTCTACATGGCCATGTCTCACAGCCAGCCAAGTAGGAGGATGTAGCGAACTGCTGCTGCTGTGCAGTACACACACGTCCTTTGATCGACAACCAGCTGGATATCACGTCTACTATGCCAGAAGATGGTGCGAGTTCGCAGGCAAATGCCAAACAAGACTTCTATATCCGTGGTGTCATTTCTTCAGAAACTTGCACTGAGCGTCACGGAAAGCATTTCAAAACAAGTTAGAGACATTTTAATTAACAGCTATCCGCTTCACTGGCTAGCTCCATACTGAAGATCAAATGGCCAGAAAGAATTAGCAACAAGAAACTCTGGCTGGCAACAAACCAATCAAGAGAGCCAACTGCTCAAAAAATTTATGTAGGAGAAAATGGAGATGGATTGGGTACACACACTAATGAGGAGACGGTTGTTGAATGACATCGCGCTCAGTGCAGGCCATCGCTCGAGTGGAATCCCAATGGGAAGCAACGAGTTGAGCGTGGGTCAGAGGGTGACATGGAGGAGGAGGAGGAGATGAAAGATTATGGGCAATCGTGGACCCAGATGAAGAGTACGGCGAAAAACAGAGGAAAGTGGGGATGTGTTTTGTCGATGGCCGTTTTAACCACTCGGAACCCAAGGGAATAATAATAATTATTATTGTTCCCTTGGGTTCCTAGTGGAACAAAGGGCTTTAACTGCATGTCTCCATTTGTTTCTGTCTTCTGCTGTACTTTTCACCTTCATCCATGTTAGTCCATACTGTTTCAACTCCTCTTCATACAATCTCCTCCATGTCACCCTTGGACGTCCCACTTGCCGCTTCCCTTACGGGTTCCATTCGAGCTATGGCCTGACGCACGATGTCACCCAGCGGCATCCTCAGCGAGTGTCCGATTCATCTCCACTTTCTCCTGCATATTTGTTGAGCGATTGGTTAAAGGGAATAATAATAATATTACAGTTATCACAATAATTTATATTCATTAATCTGACATCAATCAGTGTAAAAATCTGCTGCACTCAACATGAAGAGAAAGATCCGAATTTTGAAAACAATAAGGTTCAGGGACTTAGAGTACGCGTCACTTAAATGCATTTCCAACAGGTTGCAGACTTTCGCTAACAGTTGTTATCTTTACTTCATACCGGAGATCAAATGGCTAGAAAGGACTGACAACAAGGAAATCTGGCAAACAAACTAACCAAGGACCAAGTGACCAACAAATAAAATATGCCCAAGAAAATGGAGATGGATCGGTCATATATGTTGAAGAGACCGTTAAATGATATCGTGAGCCAAATCGGAAGCGACAGACAGGTCAGGCGTTTAAAGGTGACAGAGAGAGAAGATCACGTGAAGAGAAAAAATGAAAGCAGCTTCAAGGCATTAGTAGTCATGGTGGTTGAAACTGGAGGTGTGCTGTTGAAGCCCTATATTCGACTCCGAACGCAAAGATGAATACACTCAAAACTAAAAGGTATCAAACAAAAAAAAACACCAATAAATCTTAAAAATTCACACTGTGAATACAAAAGTATTAAAACAACCCATCATAAAGTGACGTAAGTATGATACTCACCGTCTGTAAGAGGATTGATGATTCGATTTGTACGCATTATCAGTAGTAGTAGTAGTAGTCGTAGAATATTGTCCTGAGTCACGTGATGATACCGAAGATCTATACGAATTATAGCGTCTATCCAGCCGGGAACTAGGACTGTGTAGTGACATTTCCCTTGCACTATAATAAGAACATCGAGTAGGACTGCCGAGTAAAGAGTTACCAGTTCGATCTCTTGAGGCGGATCCTAAACAGATATTTAACAAGGCAATAAGTTTGGTTATAGAGTCTTAAGTAAACATATTGGCAAATATTCAGTAAAATAAGATGAAAAGTTTTAAACTAAGAGGATATAGTAGTCAGACTCGAACAGTAAGTAGATGAGGCAAAACTAACGTTTTTACGTAATATCTAGTTTTGTTTCCAAAGTTTCAAATTCTTCTTTGTTATGCCTTTGTGTTCCGATTGGGACAATGGAATTCAAGGTTGAGCTATGAAGTGGGGTTATTAGACTCTTGCTCAACCTTTCCTATCTTTGTCGGGGTTACAACCGGCTAGGGGAATCGAGCCCCGGACCACATGCATGGTCGACCAGCATCCTACCACTGAGCCACCAACGTACCGAAAGTTACATCAATTAGATGTATCGATTAGAACTGTAGCACTTTAAAAAACCACAGAAAGAAAGCAATAAAGACAGAAAATAGATAAAAAAGTATATTTTGAAAGTATTAAAAATTATGCAGGATACTCATATGATAATTAGAGATTAAACAATAAAACTGTGAAGGCCTTTTCGCCTAGAATATGCAGTGGCTGACACTATAGTCATTGTTAACCTGAAAGCAGCATTCGATTCCGTCAACCGAGAGGTACTTATGGCGGTGCTTGGTTGTGGAAGGAATGACAGGAAAATATATTGCACTGATCAAGGCATTCACTCTACTCGAACTCATGCAGCCAGCCAGGTGATAGCCTACGGAGAGTTGTCATCTAAAGTGATAACAACCAGTAGTGTCTATCTACGAGGCTGTGACCACTATCCCCATTTCTGTTCAATTTCATCATAGATATACTGATGGACTTAACCATAACTGCTGACTTCAGCCAATCAGGGAATAATCTCTTTGACTTTGAAAATGTGGATGATATATTCCTGCTCCTAGGTCTTCTGAAGACCTTGAGGAGCAGTGATCTCCGAATGTTTACCGTGAGATTTGTCCCTGATATCAAATGTCTACAGGACTAGATTACATCGAATCACTCCTAGCCTAAAGATAGGGAGTGTGAAGTGGTACAGCATGTTGACCGCCACTTTACTTATTTAGGGAAGTTGCATCAGCAACGCCAGATGGTTGATCGCTGACGAACTCTCAGCACGGATACAGAACGCTCGCTCAATCCTCCTTAATAGTTGACTGTGACTGAGACATGGCCGTTTAAAAAAAGTGGAAGACATGAACTGGTTAGTTACCATGGTTCCGCTATCATTGATGGTACAGAACTTGAAACTAAATCGAATGTTAAGTGTTACTTGGATTGTGTATTTCCTCTGATCACCTTTACTGGTCTTCCTACATTATGTGAGTTTCCACAATGATAGTTTGTTTAACGTTCTACATTAAGTTCTAAGTCGTAGATATGCCCTTCTTTCTATCCTTCCAATGTAACTGGAACTTTCTCACACATTTATTATATAAATACACGAATGTACAGCTATCACCTAGTTGATGACGATTTCGTTGAAAAGAAAATTCTCTTCGCTGAAACCGTCTTTTCAATAATTCTCTATGATCCAATGTATGTACACTCCGTAAGAAGAATATATATATATACTTATTGAATTGTGGTTATTTCAAACGATGAAATATATAGTATGAAAATAAAATCATTCCAATTTACAGATGAAATTGTTGGCCAAAAAAAAGAATAAACACATTCACAAATCAAAGAGAAAAACAGACTAGTATTTCCTCTTACCTTGAACATCACGTTTACAGCTTGATGAGTCATTCAAAGATGAACGTGAGTTTGAATAAGATGGTGGAGATGGTAGTCTGTCATCTCTACTAGAGGATGGACTGCCTAAAAGTCCTTTTTCTGTATCAGCTCGAGATCGACTACGTGTAAAACTTGGAGGGGAATATCTTCGACCAGTAGACGCATCATAAGTACTATAAACTGATGTTGGCCTACGACGAATTGGTGAGAATTCAGACCTTCTACTACTGCTTTGTACTCGACTACTTCGATGTCTACTGCTTGAAGCGTTGGAAGAAGAAACAGATGATGAGTCTGTCATATCATCATCATCATCACCAAGAACTGAGCCTAATTCTAAAGCCATAGCACGTCGTTCAGCACGTAATCGTTTCTCCTCTTGACGTCTAAGTAGACGAGCCTGTTGACGAAGACTTTCTTCACGAGCCTGAGATTATATTAAAGAGAAAAAAATTGTAAATACTTTATACAAGTATGAATATTAAAGCAAAATAATTTGTACTTAAATGGTATGCATGACTACTGCTCAGAAATTCAATCTTGTCATCTCAGATCTTCATACGACAAAGTTACACTGATAGGCAAAATATGATGGTTACTTCCACAAGGTAATCTGTTTGTCTATTGGTCACTTAAACACACCCACCGTGAACTAGCCGAGACACTCAGCGATTGTCGATCAATAATGACTGACTAGTTTCAACATTGAACTTTGCACACAAGTGCACCACACTCCGAGTTGCCACACTTCCTCCTCCTTGTACCACACAAAGCAACAGAAGACAGTAAACAGAGACTCATCAAAAGAGAGGAGGTAGATAATAAGCAGAAGTGTGAGTGACGCAAAAAACAACAGTAATATTGGCATATCCAATAGAATTTTATTGGATATGATAAATCACCACAAAGTGTGAATGCATATGCGCCAGCCATTGTGAACGAGGATTTCACCAATTGTCTATCTCCAGCCTTCATTGGGTTTTACCATTCTGTCTGTCTGGATTCAACATAGAACTTGGCACCGAAGTGCAGCAGTTCGAGTTGCCACCTTCCAAATACCACACAAAGGTAGACAAGAAGATGAGTGATGAAGAGAATCAATAGAGTTTTGACAAGTGTAAGAGTGAAACAGAATGAGTAATGGTAGAAAGGAATATGAAAGATTACAGAGACTGAATACATCTGCATAAGCCATTGACAACGATTTTGAGCCATGTCACCTATTGTCTCCAGCCATTGATTCTTAGAGTCCCGAGGGCGGGCCCCAACCCGGAAGTCTGCATCTCCCTACCTGACTCAGTTTAACTGTCAAGGATTTCATGGATTGATGAGGCCATGTTTTTGTTTGGCCACCACTTACTCTTTTCCAACCAACCTGCACCTATATCAGCTAGTAATGCCCATCGGTCGGGGGAGGCGATGGTTAGGCATGCGCAGCACGTGACCTAGCCATCTCAATCTATGTAACTTTATAGCCTCTTCGATTGATTTTCCCTCTTTGCCCAACACTCTACGCCTAACGTCAACATTACTTACCTTATTATGCCACCTAACGTGAGAAAGAGATCGTAGACATCTATGATCAAAAACAGTCAACCTTTTCATGTCTTCAACTCGTATTGGCCATGTTTCAGAGCCATAGAGAAGGACGGAGCGAACTGTTGAGCAGTACACACGTCCCTTGGTTGATAGCCGGATGTCACGCCTACGCCCGAGATGGCTTTACCATCCCGAGGACTCGAACCAGGAAGCCAGTCTACACCTTCCTACTTGGCTGGCTGGCTTAAACTAATTGTTGTAGATTTCATTGTCTGATGAAGCCATTTTTCAGCTCTTTTTCAACCCGATCCTATGTCAGTCAGCTAACATATATATATCCACCATCAATCTTTATGTAACACAGTGGATTTCAAACTAAACTCACCCACCATACACAGTCCCGCTAAATCTCAGCGTTACGGTTACCTTTAAAAAAGGTCACGTTGAGGCCTACAATGCTACTCAGTTTAGTTTAGTTTTCCTGTACAAGTTACAATAATATTTCCCTAAACATGTACATATTAAACATCTATGTATATATTAATTAACTGAATATGTGTCAAACAAAGTCACCACAAAAGGTGAAAAAAAAACGAAGAAAATATACATTTAACACGACTAACAACATTAGACGATGACTAACCGAAAAAATACAGGAAACAACTGAATATACAACACATGTGAGTCAACAGTAATCATAATCACAATAATAATCTCAAATAAATAATACAGAAATACTAAGGAAACCAACAAGAAATAGAGAGAAAGGTCAAAAGACAGGCAATAACACGCCATAAACAAACACACCCACACATCTGCTTTGAACGAGCAATGGCGTTTTGTTTACTTCCCTCTTATGTAAGGCTTACACTCATTTCTTTTCCTCCTGATTAACAGCTTATAATATAATTTTAAGGGGGTCTATATAACTGACCTTTGATCCGGTGGTTATTTCTCCCGTATGGAAGAAACAATAAAACTACAACAACACGCACACACACACACAGAGACAGACGTGGAATACACGCAAATAAATTAAATATATAAAGAGGAGAGTAGAAAGAAACCCCACACCGAATATTATCAGTACTATATAGAGTGCGAAAAGAAGAGAAAACGAAACGCTAGTAACTAGGGTGACTGATTGTACTAGAGAGAAAAAACAACTAATGGAAAATAAATATTTGGTCATAGCCTGGAAAATAAGTGGTACCTAGCTATGAATTATTATTATTACTATTTTTAATATATAAGAAAATACAGCAAAGATATAAGGGAAGAAAAGAGGTAGATAGGGGAATCAGACAACAAGGGCAAAACACACATACACACACGGGCTAAGAGTCTTAAAAAGAATAATAGTGAGAGATAAGAAGGCAATCAACTAGCATTATGTTTCTAAACAGTTAGCAACAATATATGCATATATATAGACAGAGAGAAGCAACATTCATAGAAGAGAAAGAGTGGGGAAATAATATGGAATAAAAGACAACACTTCAGGTCTTGGATTATTGTAGACCATACCTGTTAATTCATTTCTTAGCTCTTCTTTCTTTTGTGTTAAAATTTATACTACTCAACATTAGTAAGTAGTATGAAAGTATATTTCACTTCTAATAACATGACTTTGCTATTGCGGATTAATTCACTTAGTGTATTTACGCACTTCAAAATGATAGAGAAGATTTATAGCTCAGGTGGATGATTTTGATGTGGTTGTGTTCTATGAGCTGGATAGTTAATTTGCAAAGCTTTCATCGCCCTACAAGACTACATCTTCAGCGCATACTTCAATTTGAAGTCTGCTTTAAGATTTCTCCACGAGTTTATTAATCATCTCTCCTGGTGACTTTGGTAATTTTTGTGTTTTTTCACACCGTCTAGGTTACTTGTGGTATTGGTACTGACTGTTTCCTTGACTTGAACTTTGACACTTTGTGTGTGAAGTTTCTTTCTTATAGGTTGATAAATTTTGTCTATCTCGATGTGTCTATTGTGATCGGTGATTCACTGGAATACCAGGACTAGTTTATGTTCATGGATACGATGACAAAGGAAACGTCCACTTTGGCCAATGTAGTGTTTCTCGCAGTCGTTACAATTTATTTTGTAGATGATGATGTTGGTTTTATCTTCTTCCGTTGTTGAGTCTGTTGGTTGACATAGAGCCAGCCGAGTGAAGTGATTTTGTTGGTTAGTGTGCGACTTCAATTCCTAAAGGTTTGAAGAGTGTTGCAGTGATTTCTGACATGTCCTTTATTTATGGTAAGGCGGTTAGGATGCTTTCACGTGGGGCCTTTGATTTAGTAGGTTGGCTTGGGGGTAGATGTCTTTTGATGAAATTCCGTGGATATCCATTCTTTTGGAAGACGTTCATGAGGTATCTTTCTTCAATTTCCCTTAAGGTGGGAGTGCTGCAATGAGTCCTGGGCCCTCTTGAATAGTGTCTGCATACAACTTTTTTTGTATGTTGTTGAATTGCTGCTGTTGTAATTCAGTATTTGGTCTGTGTGAGTTCATTTTCTATAAACTTGAGTTTCTTATTCCCCTGTGGTTGTTCGCTTGACTAAGGCGTCCAAAAATTGGATTTGCTCTCGGATTCCTTTTCTCTTGTGAATTTGATGTCGTTGAAGACGCTGTTTATTAAGTTGTGAGTTTTATCTAAATCGTTTCATTTGATTACTACAAACGTTCAAGTATTGGTTTTGTACGGATTTTTGTTTGATCGCATGGAGGATTTCATCATGAACTGACATCAGTTAGATCTCTTGGAAGCTTGAAGCTTTGTGCAGTGGAGTCTTTTTTTTATTGGGAAGGGGTTGTTATTATACCACTTCACATGGGAGATAGAACGTAGACACCTATAATGGAACACAGATAATCTTTTCATGCCTTCCACTCTCAATGGCCAGGTCTCACAAACACAAAGGAGGACGGAGCGGACTGTTGAGCAGTACACACGCCCTTTGGTCGATAGTCGGATGTCACGTCTACGCCAGAGACGGTGTAAACTGGCATATGCGAAACTACCCCTCTGTATCCGTGCTGAGATTTCGTCAGAGATCAACCCGTTGGCACTGGCTGATGATACTTCCCAAGTAAGTGAAGCAATCAACGTTCTCTACCAGTTCACTTCCTATTTCTAATCTAGGAGTCGGTGTAGTCCAATCCTGTAACATCATCTTGCATTTGGCGGGACTAAACTGAAGCAGGGGAAGTTATATCCGAAACTATGACGCAATGATATAGAGCATAAATCGTTGCATTAATATTATTACTTTTATTTAGCTTAGCTTATAAAACAGATCAGGGCAATTAATCACCGTGACAAATATATAAGCAAAACACACAACGAGATAATTTGACGAAGAGCATTCATTACCTGACGTTCTGCTTCCAATTGAAGTTGTTTTTCCATTTCAGCCTTTTTATCAGCGTTAACTAAAACATAAGAGAAAAAATATTTAATACAGTTGACAAACTGCATAGAAAGAGGAGGAATTTGGTATGCAACAGTAGATATTGCTCAAATCAGCATACAAATTATATGGGAATACCTACTGAATGAATACAATCCAAATTAGTTACAGCATCCTGTCCACCAATCAAATCCCTACAAACCAACATTTGAATATCAGTTTGATGCTCACTAGAAACTTGTACTATTCAGGTAGGTAGTAGTTACCTGGGGTTCTAGTGGGAAGTCGTGACCAGTAGGGTAGAGCAGGTAAGGGGTGTGAGGACAAATACTCCCATCGATAATTGGCTAGTGATCGTGTTATATCGTCAATTATTGGCAGAAGTTAGAATTCATGGACTCGTCATTGGATCAGGTTGGATCCCAGTGGCTCAATTGTCTACGAACTCGCTGGCCTTGTAACCGTTAGATCCTAGGTTCAAACCCCCTGTGGTGGATGAGTAGTGCCGAACTAGGTTGGTGAAACAGCTGTCCACCACTCCCTGCAGGTTTCCCAATGGTTCTCTAACTGATGTCAGCTCATGATGACATCCTGTTTTTTTATTCCTTTACGTTCCCAGTGGAACATAGGGCACCAAGCTAGAGGCTTCAAGTTTCGGTGGCAGTGGTGTTTATTTTTACGGGATGGAGTTGCTAGCCTCATGCTTCCCAAACTTCCCTCTTTACCAGTCTTAGTACTGGCTTAGCGAGGTAAGGGATTGCGTCCGTGACCGGGGATCGAACCCCGAACCACATGCGTGATTGGTCAGCATTCTATCGCCGTGCCACCGAACGCACGACATCCTGTAGCCAAATAAAGAAGTCTGAAATAGACGTGAATACAAACAATGAAGCTTATACAATTTTAAAATTAATGCAGTGGTAACTAGTATGTCTAAAAAAAGTTTTTGTCAGTTGTCGTATCTGTAGAAACACTTGTATCTGACTGGTAGAATCTCTTCACACATGAACTTTTGTTATCATGAAGTCTACGGTGAATTGACAGTTAGATACAGTCACATGAAGAGATACTGCAGCAAGAATATTAACCTGACTAGTTTCAACATAGAACTTTGACATAGATTGGCGGCAGATCACACTTGCCACGCACCCTCCATGTAGCACACAAAGCGAGAGAAGATGGTAGATAGTGGTCCAAAAGAGAGGTAATAAACAGAAGTGTGAGTGAGGTAAAAAGAATAGTAATATGGAAGTATAATAGTTTTATTACATATGACGAATCACAGAGAATGAACTCATCTCTGCCAGCCATTGAGAACGAGGATTTCGAGCCATTTCAGCAATTGTCTATCTCCAGCAGTCATTGGTTTTTACCATCCCGAAGACCCCGACCTTCCTACGTGGCTGGCTGACTCGAACTAACTATTATGGATTTCATTGACTGATGAAGCCATTTGACCACCACTAGCTAGTTCTTCTCCAACCTGATCCAATGAGAGTCAGCTAGTATAGCCCGTCGAGGAAGGCTATCGATGGCTAGACATGCATGCATAACACATTTCTTAACCATCTAACCCAATCGATGTAACTTCACAACCTCGTCGACTGACTTCTTCTCAATACCTACCTAACATTCAACCGAAGCTTTACTTCAATATTACTCACTCTATTACATGTACCACGTAAGACTAAAGATAAGAATGCAGACACCTGTGATAAAAGACAGCTAGCCGGCCTTTTCATCTCTTCCACTTTCAGTGGCCGTGTCTCACTCACAGCCATAAAGGAGGACGGAACTAACTGCTGATGTGCAGCAAAACACTTCCTTTGTTCGGTAGTCGGCCATATATCATGTCTAGTAGGTCAAAGATGGCGTAAGTTGACAGGCGAATACCACACAATCCATCTGTATCCATGCTGTGATTACGTTAGCAATCAGTCAGCTCATTGGGGCTTATGCGAATTACCAAATAAGTGAATTAGCGGTCAACAAGCCTAGCCACCATTTCACTCTCTATCATTAAAACTAGGAGTCAATGTGTAGTCCAGTCTCGTAGCATAATCTTACATTCGACTGATAGCAGCGAATCGTATGCCAAGCATTCGAAGATTGATGATCAAGTTGTTCCCAAGAGTCTGCTCTATTTTATCAGCGTATTCACACCTAGGAGCAGGACTATATCATTTGTAAATGCCACACTCAACGAGATTATTCCCTGGTCAATTCAGGTCAATTCCTGAGTGGCTGAATTCAGTTAGGATTAAGTCCAAGTGCACCGGATTAGGGTCAGTGGCCAGTTTTAATCCACCGAGGTGCTATAGTGAGCCTCCACTCGAGGTCAGAGCATTCTTGATTATCCTGAATCCATTGATTCAACCTACTTCAACAATATGGTCTACCATTTCAATTCGAAAACATAAAACTATGAAGTATCATTTAAAAATAGAATTAGAGTTAGAATTTGTATTTTCCCACCGGCATATATATATGAAACTACGATTGGTATCACTGGTAGAGGTCAAATTGTTTTGCCCTTTAACCTTAAAAAAAATTAATCCAACCTAATCCGAAAACAATTGTTATTATTATGACATGAGAAGAAGGAGGAGGGGTATGCGGTTATAGCAATAAACAGAGAAGACAAATAACAGCAAAGCACAAATAAAAGATGAAAACATACAAAGCCTATAGCTTAATTCGTTAGTGAACGGTAAACCTATTCAATGAGAATGAGAAATGAAGAGACAAGACGAAGAAGAAGAAGTAGCTACTGAAAGCGATCGACACATGGGCTAATGTAACGATAGAAGACAAGTCCTAAACAATTCAAAGCAGACTTCACCGAGTACAGACACATCAGTGGTCACTTTGTGACTAAATCTAACTCGAAATCAATTCAAATTCCCCTTAAATCCAGCCTATGAATAACAACCATAAAAATATAGTAAGTGTATTAGTCAAAACTAACACAATCTGAAACCTAGTGAACTCATTTTTTCCTTCCTTGTATGTTACAGGATTTTCATCATGAGCTGACATTAGTTAGAGAACCATTGGAAAACCACCATGGAGTACTGGACAGCTGTTTCGTCCTAGTTTGGGACTCTTCTAGCAGTACGCACACACCGGGGTTCGAACCCAGGACCTTCTGGTTACAAGGTGAGCTCGTAGACCATTAAGCCACTGGGACCCGATCCAATGACAAGCCCATGAATTCTAACTTCTGCCAATTCACGACATAGCGCGACCCCTAGCCAATGTCTTCGGCGAGTATTTGTCCTCACACCCGACCTGCTGCACCCTACTGGTCACGACTTCTCACTAGAACCCCAGGTAACTACCTACCTGAATAGGGCAAGTCGCTAGTGAGCATCTCATTGTATGTCAAAAAAAAGAACAAATAACAACAATATAGGGCTCCACACACACACTTTCCTTTTTCAGTACCGACGTTGTTTTTACCCAGTGGGACTGCTAGATTCACACGCTCGCTGAAGGTTTCCTCTTTTTCTGACCTCAATATTGGCTAGAAAAATTGGTAAAAGTTTTGGTAGTATGTCGGCTCTGTGATCTTCTGAAAATATAGACAACAATGACTTTCCAATAATGTTAATTACTTCATTGACTTTGAAAAGGCCTTCAGCGGACAGCGTCAATCGAGAGGTGATTTGGAAACTACTTCGCTACTATAGGGTGACGCCGACAACAGTTGTACAACAATGCTGCATGCTAAGTAATCCACAACGGGAAACTAACGGAATCCTTCGAAGAAGTGAAGACGGGAGTAAGACAAACTGGCTGGCTGCCTACTATCTCCAATGATTTTCCTGATTGTGGTAGACTGGATAATGAGACAGACAGCGGCGGGTAACGAGGAGACAGGCATAAAGTGGACCCACACAAAAAACTTGGAGGATCTGGACTTCGCCGATGATGATATAATCTGATTTCCCACAAACTGGAAGATATGTAAGTGAAAAGCAACAAGTTGGCAGAAGAAGCATCCAGAGAAGATAGGACTCCCTTCAGGTGAACATAGAGGAAACAGAGGTGGTGAAGATTCCCGGTCAACAGCAACAGCAACAACAACAGACAACAATCAGCCAGCGTAAATGGGAGAAATCTGAAAGAAGCAACCTCCTTCACTTATCTTCCCAGCTGGGAATCAACGTCGTTTCAACTACAGGCGGACGGAACTGATGACAACATCAAAGCAGCGAGAATCATCGGAAAAGCAAGACAAGCTTTCATTACTCTCAAGTCTGTGTGGAGATCAACACCACGCACGAATCAGTAAGATCCGGATTTTCAACTCCAATGTGAAGTCAGTGCTACTATACGGATCAGAGACTTGGCACCGCGCGGCGTCACGAAGGCCACTTCGAACAAACTACACATCTTCATCAACAGCTGTCTTCGCTCGATACTACTCAAGATCAGATGGCCGGCCAGAAAAGATCAGCAATAGTGAGGGATCCCTGTGAGCGAACCAACCTAGCAGGAACCAATCGTGCAACAAATATGCAGCAAGAAATGGAGGTGGATTGACCATACTCTGAGAAAACAAACCATCACTCGCAAAGCAGGCCATCACTCGAGTGGAACCTGAATGGGAAGTGGCGAGTTAGTCGTCAGTGCGAGGGTGACATGGAGGAGGAGGTCATGTGAAGAGGAGATGAAAGCATGTGGGTAGGTGGACGTGGAGTCACGTGTCAACGTTGGCAAAGAACCGAACGCAATGGAGACGCTTGGGTGAAGCCGTATGTTCTTCTAGGAACTAAAGGAAACAAAATAATATAAATAATACATAGGTCAAGTCAATGAAGAATTATCTAAATCAATAAGTGAGTACTACCTACTACTATTACAGTGAGACATCAAAAATACACAATAAACTTACAGGCTTTAGTAAGTTGTGACTGTACACGACGTTTTAATAATTCTTGTGGCATAAGACGAGGTGTTGATCCAGTAGCAGTAGGACACTGTAAAAGTTGAAAGAAAATACAGAAGGTAAACCACCCATAGAATTCCTGAAAACGTATATTCACATTCATCACTAAGAATATTTAGATAAAAAAAACTGCATTTACATACACTAACTACACTTTCTCAATTCACCATGTGGGATTAAACACAATTTACATGTTATAGTAGATAGAATAGGACTCAGGAAACATTTGCAGACACAGTAAGATAAACTTATTGTGAAAAAGTTAGTAATGCCATTCTGTCACAACTTGACTTTGATAGATAGATAGATAGATAGTACGATGCTTGAGTACTTGATGAGTATTAGAAGTCTACTACTATTACGGACCATTCTATTTCATAACATGCGTGGAATCTGAGAAAACTACAGATCCTACAGGAAACTGTGTGCATCAGATCACTAGATCCTAAATCGAATTTTTACACACACCTTACACTTTGCCGACTTAATTAAACATTGTCATTGTTTTTTTTCTATAGTTTGGTTTGTAAGGGTTAGTTTTGTTTTTACCAGTTGATCACAGATTGATATCAGTTAGAGAACCACTGAAAACCAGCCAAGGGAGTACTGGACAGCTGTTTCATCCTAGTTTGGGAATCATCGTCAGTACGCACCCACGACAGGGGGGTGATAATTCCCAAACTAGGATGAATTGACATTGTTGTTAAAAAAAAGCTTAATCTACTTAGAACTCATCTACTCCAGCTGGAATCTCTCTCATGAACCAGACTTTCATAGTGTAAAGTTTGCTGATTCTATTCAATGAGTTGACTAGATTGAAAGTGTATAAGTGAACAATATTGTTGTTTTCAATTAGATCTTCTTCAGGCTTTATTCTAACTTACATAGATTTATATATAAAAATTTTAGCCAATGACGCTGATTTTGTGGATCAAATAATAATGATAATAATGTGGTAAATGTTTTGAACGTCAGTAATAACAATGATCATAATGATAACAAAATAATGATAATAAGGTTTATGCTGCAGGTGGGGCGATAAGAATAACGAAGGTAATGAGTGATATGTGTGTATATGTAGACAATTCAATGAATAAATAAATCAGGTCAAATCTTAAAAGTTACGTAATACTAAAGGTGGATGAAGTGGACAGACAGATAATCAGAGTTTAAATCATAAATATCATAAAAGTACGAAGGAAATAGAGAAAATGAGAAAGAGTAAGAGGGTTTTTTTATTTGATGAATTAGACTTTACCTAGACAAGCAAAGGAGAGAGAGAAAGAGAGATAAAGGTAGAACACAAACTTCTTTTGTTGTGTATGCAAAGGCACTAACTAGGATTGTTCTCTTTCGAATTCCTACAGCTTCCGTTGTGTGTGTGTGTGTGAAAGGCGGCTTAGAATTCCGTTCGAGAGGGGCTCTGTGTGTAATGCGATAGATAACCGTGAAGGCACTTTTTTCTGTCTAACTGATGATCGCTGCCAGCAATCAACTAAGACAAAAAATAGATCTTCTTATAGATTTTATTTGGCCTTTTCCGAACTATGCGGGAAGATGCTATATACAAACAGCTTTCTCCACAGGAGCAACATGGTAGTTTTGCCCATAGATTACCTTCTTCAAATGACAGTGTACAGGGCACATTATTATTTTAAATTGACCAAAAGCATACTACATTATTACACGAGGCAAAAGTCATTTAAACTGCAGGTACATAATATTATTGGCAGATATATATATATCGGGGCTCTCCATGAAACTGTAATAAAATTTAGAGAATTTCAGAAAGTTGGACGGTTTAGAGAGAAGTGTTAGAAAATTAACTGACTTTTAAAACATGACTGGGACTGGGACTAGGACCACTACCACCAGTCGTGATTGTTGACTGTTGAGACGTCATCATCTTACCCGCGTAATCACCGCCGCCATAAGAACTGGAATCCAATTTCCTGAATTTAAAAAACAAAACAAAAAACATACAATTTCAGTACTGGCACAGATGAGACAAATGAATACTTTTAATCGATAGAGAGAGGGATGACAAATGAAATGACCGATTGACTTTCTGTCAGTCTGTCTGGATTCAACATAGAACTTGGCACCGAAGTGCACCAGTTCCAGTTGCCACCTTCCAAATAGCACACAAACGTAGACAAGAAAATGAGTGATGAAGAGAATCAATACAGTTTTGACAAGTATGAGTGAAACACAATGAGTAATGGTGGAAAGGAATATGAAAGATTACAGAGACTGAATACATCTGCGTAAGCCATTGACAACGATTTTGAGCCATGTCACCTATTGTCTCCAGCCATTGATTCTTAGAGTCCCGAGGGCGGGCCCCAACCCGGAAGTCTGCATCTCCCTCTCTACCTGACTCAGTTTAACTGTCAAGGATTTCATGGATTGATGAGGCTGTGTTTTTGTTTGGCCACCACTTACTCTTTTCCAACCAACCTGCACCTATATCAGCTAGTAATGCCCGTCCGTCGGGGGAGGCGATGGTTAGGCATGTACAGCACGTGACCTAGCTATCTCAATCTATGTAACTTTATAGCCTCTTCGATTGACTTTCCCTCTTTGCCCAACACTCTACGCCTAACGTCAACATTACTTACCTTATTATGCCACCTAACGTGGGAAAGAGATCGTAGACATCTATGATCAAAAACAGTCAACCTTTTCATGTCTTCAACTCGTATTGGCCATGTTTCACAGCCATAGAGAAGGACGGAGCGAACTGATGAGCAGTATACACGTCCCTTGGTTGATAGCCGAATGTCACGGCTACGCCAGAGACGGTGTAAGTTAGCGAAAGCAGCAACCGATTGACTTTATTGTAAAACAAAAACACTTATTATTTTCAAGTATTGGTTTTTGTAAGGATTTTTGCTGAACTGGTTGGAGGATTTCATTATCAGCTGACATCAGTTAGAGAACCATTGGAAAACCTGCAGGGAGTACTGCCAGACAGCTGACTTTTCGTCCTAGTTTGGGACTCTTCATCAGTACATGCCCACCACTGGAAGTTGGTGCCTAGCATCTTCCGCCTACAAGGCGACTGGCCCTATTCAGGCAGTGACTTGAGGTTCTAGTGGGAAGCCGTGACCAGTAGGATGCAGTGGTAACTCATCGGAGAAGATATTGCAAAGCGGTCGTGCTATATCGTCAATTATTGGCGGAAGTTAGAATTCATGGACTCGCCATTGGATCGAATTGGGTCCCAATGGTCTACGAGCTCACCGGCCTTTTAACCAGGAGGTCCTGGGTAAGAACCCCGGTGGTGGATGCGTACTGCTGTGGAAGAGTCCCAAACTAGGCTAACGATACAGCTGTCCAGTACTCCGTGCAGGTTTTCCAAATGATTCTCTAACTGATGTCAGCTCATGATGAAATCCTCCAACCAATCATACTTATTATTTGTTGACTTCAAAGAATACTCATCACATAGAAAGTGATTCCTTAAGGGATTATCTGAATTATTTTAGTCAAAATGTAAGAGTAAGGTGGCCTGCTTAAAACTTGAGCTATTCAGAAAAACCTCCATCAATAATATTGTATATAATTTCTTTTATTTGTTTTTTTTAAAATCTATTAAAGTGTGACCATTAATAGAGTCTATTGCTAACTCTTGCGAGTATTTAAAACATTTACAGCCTGCTGTCACATTCGCAAATTTCTACTAAAAAAAATTAGTAAAAAAGGATTGTCATCGATGGTGGTAGCTTAACACCCAGTACATGAGATGACAGTTTCTCAGTAGTGTGTGTTTGGTTCACAAAATGTTGTACTTTTGAACTTTGTATAATTGACTTTCAACAAAATGTCATTGTCTATTTCTCAAAGTAGGCAAAGCAGAGGTATCATAATGGTGGATTGAAGTGCGCTTTAGGTCGGATAGTGAATTGTGTCGCATAATAATAATAATTTGCTTTATTCCAGAAACAGTACTAGTGGTACAGTATGGAATTTTCAGCACATATCTACAATATTTGCATCTAATTTTATCCAACATTTAAATGGAGTACTTCAAAAAAATAAATATAAAGGCAACAACAACAAAAACAAAACAAACACAAAAATAATAAAAAGCATGCAGAAAAATACCAAGAAGTAGAAAGGAAAATAAATAAATAATATCTCAGTATTGGTATGTTTATGCATGGTGACAGTAAAGCTATAGCCGTACAAGAAGCTATGTAATGATATTTAAGAATGTTTATCGCCAAGATGGTCAGTTAATTTGGTTGAACAACAACTAAACAATCATAAAATAACATTTCAGGCTTGTTGTTTTGTTTTTTATTGTCAGTATCATACAGTGAACTCCACTGAGAATTCTGTGCATGATATAAACCCTATTCAGAATAAAACTGTTAATAATAACATTATCACTATTCCCGATTATGAACCAACGCTGAACTAACTAATTATCAGTCCCAACCAACAGCGACGACAACAACAACAACCAGCAACAATCATCATCAACGGGAGAAATTTGAAAGAGATTACTCTACTCACTCTACTCTACCTCTTTTACCTACCTGGGAAGCATTGTTTCAACTACAGGCGGACGGAACTGATGAGGATATCAAAGCAAGTATCGGAAAAGCAAGACAAGCTTTCACTAATCTCAAATCTGTGTGGAGGTCAACAGCACTTAGCATCAAAAATAACATCCGGATTTTCAACTCCAATGTGAAGTCAGTGCTACTCACTATACGGATCAGAGACTTGCACTGAGCGTCATAAAGAGCATCTCAAACAAACTACAGACCATCATCAACAGTTGTCTTCGCTCAAGATCAGATGGCCGGCCAGAAAAGATCAGCAACAGAGATCTCTGGCAATGAGCCAACCAACACAGGAGGAACCGATTGTGAAACAAATAGGCAGGGAGAAATGGAGATGGATCGGCTGGTCATACTCTGAGGAAACCATCAAGTGACATCACTAGACAAGCCATTGTTCGAGTGGAACCCGAAAGGGAAGCGGCGAGTTGGTCGTCAGTGCGAAAGTGGGGTGACTTGCAGGAGATCATGTGAAGAGGAGATGAAAACGTGTGGGCAGACTTGGAGCCAGGTGAAGACTCTAGCAAAGAACCGAATGCAATGGAGACGCACGGCTGAAACCCTATGTTCCTCTGGGAATTAAAGGATACAATAATAATAATGATACTCTACTCACTCATCTCACAAGACAGCGTCGTTTCAACTACATTCAGGCACACGGCACGAGTCAAGAGGTCAAAGACAAAATCGCAACAGCAAGATACGCCTTCACCAGTCTGAAATCAGTTAGCAGATCTTCTGCACTCCATCTCAGAATGAACAACAAGATTAGGACTTTCAACACAAATGTCAAGTCAGTCACAAATATGTAGGAGAAAATGGAGATGGATTGGGCACACACCACTGAGGAGACGGTCGAGTGAGTGATATCGCGCTCAATGCAGGCGATTGATTGGGTGGAACGCGAATGAGAAACGACGAGTTGGGTATGGGTCAGAGGGTGACATGGAGGAGATCAGAGACTATGGTCAGTCATGAGAAAAGGTAAAGAAGACCTCAGAGAATAGGGCAAATCGGAGATGTATTTCTGAATCCCTATGTTCCACTCAGAACCCAAGGGAACAATAATAACAAATAATTACTTGGTTGTTTTATTTACAAAAATGTATCTAAAAGAAGCGTACGTCTGCTTAACACATCTGGAGATTATTATTTATTTTATGTATTTAAACGCAGAAAAAAACTTGGTACAATATAGCACCAAGAACGGATAAAGAACTTCATCTGAAAGGAAAACACTCATGTTTAACAAGTTCAAACAGTATTCGTTAACTATCATCAGGAAGGGAAGAAAGAAGGAAATTGCAACACGTTCGCCATTGATTACGATTCTTGGCCATATCCGATAACGTTTCGAGTCATCGATTCGAGCTATCTCGCGGACCCCAACCAGGGAGTCGTGACACACCAACCGATGCTAATCTAGCACAAAAATCCTTCATCCCACGACGCCACGTCATGGACTGACCACCCCTCCACCTTTTCCTTCCCGTCCCAGGGCTATCGAACAGAGACCTGTACGGAAGCCTCTGGGATGACATTTGCAGCACATGTCCAAGCCACCGGAGCCGGTGTTTCTAGATGGCGACACTCAATGAATGGTTATCTCCACTGTGTTCAAACACACGCCGCCGAACCTCAGAATTACTCACGCGATGATGCCATCGACCGCAAGCAATTCTGCGGAGACAGCGATGATCGAACACGCAGAGTCGCCTCACATCCTCAGCTCGGAGAGGCCAGGTTTCATAGGCTTGGCGTAGAGCAAGACAGCCCGCACGGAAGCATTGTATACCCGACCTTTGACAGCCAGGCTAACGTCGAGACGGCGCCAGAGGTGGCTCAAGTTGATGTATGCCACCCTAGCCTTCATTATACGGTTGGAAATCTCATCCGTCACCCCTCCGCCAGCACTCACACAACTACCCAGATACACGAACTTATCAACAACTTCAACCGGTTCACCCGCAAAAGTGAGTGCAGGTACAGGCTCCTGCCACTCTTGTTACAGTACTTTGCACTTAGACGGTGCAAAGCACATACCATACTTACAGACACTGATTGAGAGCGAAATATACGCACCCTGTTACCACCTTCTGAAACCGAAGACTTTATCACCATCACCAAGTTTGTTGTTGCATAACTGATTGAGAAAATACAAATTAAAACAAAATAGTCTCGATACAACCAGAGCCACTTCAAAATCTTAACTGAAAAACAGTTTAGTAGTGCTAACTACTCCCAGGCTCTCCCCAATGATCCTGTAACCGGTGTCAGATTATGATGAAAACCTTGTAACCAATCAAATCCCTGCAAACTGACACGAATATGTCAATCTGATGCTCACTAGCGACTGAACCTGGGTTGGGAAGTTACCTGGGTTCTAGTGAGAAGTCATGACCAGTCGAGTACAGCAGGTCGGGTGTGACGACAGATACGCGCCAGCGATGAGATTGGCTAGTGGTCGTGCTATATTGGGAATTATTGCCAGAAGTTAGAATTCATGGGCTGGCCATTGGATTGGGTTGGGTCCCAAGTAACCTATTAATTAATATCACTCATTACTGCATTTTGATAATATATTGTTGCATTGTACTCTCATTGACTTGGATTTTTATTCGAATATTTGTTATGTTAATGAACTTGCTCTAGACAGTCCCCTACAGACGTTCACATGCATATAGAATAATATCAATTAACGGAGAGATAGATTTGACATCAAAGAGAGCAAATAAATCGGTATTAAGGCTGAACATGGGAGACATGAAAAGAAGATAAAGAAACACAATACGAAGTGGGGTTGGTGGGCAGGGGGAGGGCTGAGAAGTAGCCCAACTCGGAAGATCTGTGTGCAAATAACCATTTTAATTATAAGGTATCCATTATTTCCTTATACCCATTACGCTAAACTTCACTTAACCAGTTCAGAAGTAATCTCGGAGAAGAGGGTAGTGTCGGTTCGATATGAGACTAACAGCTTCAAGCCCGTTAAAACAATACCACTACTGGTAAAACTTGGCGGGGAGGGGGGGCAGGGAAAGTTTGAAATCGTATATTTTATCTAGAAGGCAAATAAAAAATATATATGCTATAATCAACTCGTAAGTCATGCGCATCAAGAAGCTCAAAAATTACAAAAAAAAACCTAATTTTAATTTACCATGAGGTTGATTGACGCCTTGCTGAAATATTTTCTGAAGATTTGAATGATGATTCCTTCTTGTTATTATTATTGTTATCATTATCATCATCTTTTTCTTCATCTGAAAATTCCAGCTCATCAGCTGACTCCAACTCAGGTCGATAGTATCGTTTACGGACTGGAGGTGAAGGTTGCCTTATTGCAGTGGTTTCTTCTGATTCACATAATGAATTCTCAGTACGATTCCTAGTTGAGTGTAAAGCAACAAGAAGTAGAAGAAGAAATAACACAGACAAATGAGTGATGGGACTTAATAATTTGTACTGGTGTCAAGTTTATGTAGCTAAACACTAAAATGTCTGTCTGTCTGGATTTAACATAAAACTTGCCACCGATGTGCACCAGTTCCAGTTGCCACGTTCCAAATACCACACAAAGGTAGACAAGAAGATGAGTGATGAAGAGAATCAATAGAGTTATGACAAGTATAAGAGTGAAACAGAATGAGTAATGGTAGAAAGGAATATGAAAGATTACAGAGACTGAATACATCTGCGTAAGCCATTGACAACGATTTTGAGCCATGTCACCTATTGTCTCCAGCCAGCCATTGATTCTTAGAGTCCCGAGGGCGGGCCCCAACCCGGAAGTCTGCATCTCCCTCCCTACCTGACTCAGTTTAACTGTCAAGGATTTCATGGATTGATGAGGCCATGTTTTTGTTTGGCCACCAATTACTCTTTTCCAACCAACCTTCACCTATATCAGCTAGTAATACCCGACGGGGTGGGGGAAGCGATGGTTAGGCATGTGCAGCACAAACACTAGAATAGTGGATGAATATCAAACAACTACAATAAGATAACACAAACACGTATACTGTTGCTTTTGTGTAGACTGGAGAACCAAGCAAGGAAATGGCATTCACATAAAACAACGATTGTATTAAATAAAGACTAACAGACTCGGCGTTAAAAAAAATTGGCAACGTTTACCTAGGATGAATAGTTTCAAAAGAAACATTTATCTCACTAGGGGCGGAATTCCAACTAGGGGGGAATAAGCTGGGAGTATTTAGGGAAAGACAAATTATGTGCTGATCAATTTGCAGCTTTATGCATCACAATCGAACAGTGCACAGAATAGCAGTCAAACCTCTATATTAATTTCATCGCCTTTGTGAAAAAAACCTTTGACAGTGTTGACCGTTGAGGGTGACATGGAGGAGGAGAGAGACTAAGGGCAATCGTAGGCCCAGCTAGAGAGGACAGTAGATAATAGAACAAAGTGGAGGTGTGTGGCTGAAGCCATATGTTCCACTCTGAACCCAAGGGAACAATAATCATAATAATAGTAATCAAATAGACACCCATATTTCATTTCTCAACAGTGTGCACAGAATAGAATAGGTGATGGCGAGCTACCTAGAATGGTGGCCACATTGCAAAACCTGACTGATAGAAAGGACTAGACACGTCACACTAGTTACTAGTGTCCAATCAAAATACCCACCACAGTCCTACAGGAGGTCAATCGCGAGTCCGAATAGCTCATTGGTAACGTCTCTGACTGCAGGCGGCACTGAGTGATGCGGGTTCGAATCTCAGAAGAAGGGACATGAGTTGTTCCTTCAAGGTAACTGCAGATACGCCTTGCTGACTGGTGAGTGCCAACTAGCACGAAACCTAGGTCAAGCAAGACTTCCTGTGGCCGATTGCCTCCCACTATCTGATATCATCAGAATAAATTAACTTGTTAGGTGTGCATTATTGATTTATGTGCGACGAACTGAAATATAACTATTTGTGGAAATTAAATACAGTTAATGAATAAGGATTAACTACCCGGTTACATGGAGCACCAAATAATATAACCTTTATTTTGGAACTGCAACCTATCCACAACTTGAAAGTCCAGGGCGAATGTGACCCTTTTTTTACCAATCATTAAACACAATTAGACAAAATAAAATGTACGGTTAGTATATACATCGATTGTTTCAAACTAGCACACTAAAATAACATATATGCAAATGAAGTAGTGAAACAGTCACAGTCAAACTATAAAAACAGTGAAATAACAACACAGTAAACCAACCGACTATAATTTGATTTTTCATTGTCTACTGAAGTACTAGAACTAGAATATGATTTTCTTGATGAAGAGGACCTGCGTCTTGATCTGTATGGGCCTGAACCACGTCTGTATCCCCGATAAGAACCCCTATAATCTCTGCTACTGTCACTACGTCGATTTCGACTGTGATCTCTCCTGCGGTTTCTGCTGCCACGGGAACTATTAGATCGGCGACTACTAGACCGAGATCTTGAAGTCGAACGGTAGCGACTTTTTGAAAGTTGTCTTCTCCCTCGATCACTGTATCTAGGAGGTGAACTAAAGAAGATAAAAAGAAAATCAGAAATTGGCTGCATTTAGTGGAAAGTTTTGAGCAAATAGCTTAGACATTTTTATCTGCATTTACTTTGACAATGAAAATTTAAGGAGTACGTATAAGCTACTTAGTTGGAAGTAAGTAGTAAGAACGTCTTTGCAAAAAACTAAGATTAGCATATAGTCGTAGTGAAAAATTGATCCAGAATAACAGGTAAAAACTAACCGAGTCCGAGAGTTTTTTCTATTTGTACTGTGACGAGATGTGTTGTCAGAACTACTTTTTATCTGTGTTTCGGACGTTGGCTTTGAACTGAGGAGTTTTGAAACAACAGAAGCTGCAACAGCAGATGCAGCAGATCCCGGAGGTTTACTATCATTTGCACCGAATAATCCACATCCACGATCATATAATGTTGTCTGCGCATTTGACTTCGACTGATTATTTCCACCATTGCCCGTTTGATTATCTAAATTGTCATCATTATCACCAAATGTAGTTATGTATTCCACACGAGAGTGCTGTTTAGGACGACGATTTCTACTACGTGAACCCCGATTTGAAAATGACCTCTAATTTAATTAAGAGACAAAAGAAACACGAAGTGATTTACAGGAGCACATTACTTACTTCTAACACTCTTGTATTAAATCAACAAACAGCTAGATGCCAATTAACTGATTACAAGAGTAACAATGATAACGTCGAAGAAACTACTCTGCTTAGTAAATTCGTTGGCATTGTGACTAGTAGACACTAAGCCGACCGATAGCTGCTACCTTGACGTGCTGGTGGTCGCCAGAATTGTATATCTCATTGACCCAACAAACTACACTGGCTGGAACTACTAATGTTTCTACAGGTCTTACCATGCCAGGAAGGTTGTTAGGATAGCGATTAGACTAAAGGCATAGTGTAAGATTTTTTTACACTGTGCATCAAAGAAGTGTTTCTGTCAGCTATATACAGTAGGATGCAGAGATCGGTTTCCTGTGCGTTCAAGACTACAACGAGACGCTTTTAGTCGTAACTTGCTAAAAGTCAGTGAACTATTTCATGCTCAATTTTTTAAAGTGGACAGAAAGTTCAGAGATGATCACTTGAAAACTAACACATATCACTTGGAGGATGCTAAGCAGTATTTTTTTATTATTCCTTCACGTTCCCAGTGGAACATAGGGGGCTTTTCAAGCTAGAGGCTTAAAGTTTCTGTAGCACTGGTGATTATTATTTTTACAGGATGGGGTTGCTTGCTAGCCAGCCTCATGCCCCACCTTTCCTCTTTACCAGCTTTATTACTGGCTTAGCGAGGTAAAGCAGTGCGTCGGTGGCCGGGGATCGAATCCCGGACCATGTGCATAGTCGGCGAGCATCCTAACCGCTGCTGTGCCACCGACGCACAGTAGCAGTACTCACGACAATATGAGAGAGAGACTTACCTTGTACGACTGTCAAATCCTCAGGAAAGTAAGTTGCAATTCAAATAATTGGGGGCGTGGGCGTGGGGGAGGGAATGATCACCTGTGTTTCCCACTTTCTCATATAATCATCTCCTAACTATCTACATAATCAGCTTAGGTGAACCTTACTGGCCCTATTCAGGTAGGTAGTTACCTGGGGTTCCAGTGGGAAGTCGTGACCAGTAGGGTGCAGCAGGTCGGGTGTGAGGACAAATACTCGCCGAAGACATTGGCTAGGGGTCGCGCTATATCGTGAATTGGCAGAAGTTAGAATTCATGGGCTGGCCATTGGATCGGGTCCCAGTGGCTTAATGGTATGCGAGCTCGCCTTGTAACCAGAAGGTCCTGGGTTCGAACGCCGGTGAGTGCGTGCTAAAGAGTCCCAAACTGTGACGAAACAGCTGTCCAGTACTCCCTGAGGTTTTCCAATGGTTCTCTAACCAATGTCAGCTCATGATGAAATCCTGTAAACAATTAAATCAACTGAATCTAGATATTATTTCATGGTACTGTTAAGAGATAGAGTAAAAACGAGTATAGTAATAAAAAAATGAAGTTCACATACATTTGATGAACTGGAAGAAAATCGTCGACTTCGACGGCTTCCGCCACCACCACCATCACTACTGCTGTTGCTGCTACTGCTGCTGCTTGAACTTCTACCAGATGTTGCTCGATATTTTGAATGATTATCATGACTTGATTGTTTATAATTTCTACGACATAAACTTATCGACGTCATCCCTCCAATATGGACAGCTGGTCCACGAGCATTCGACAGTACTGGTTTAGCACGTGCTCTTTGATCACGAATTGTTGCTGCCTTTGACGTGGGACTTCCGTATACAACACCTGAAAAATCTTGTTCTTCCACATCGGATGGATAATCAGCGGAATCCGATGAGCTGGCAGATAGGTAGACAGTCCGTCTGAAAGTAAAATATTTTTTATAGTAAATTATCTGCATTAGAGTATGATGATGATGACGTTCTGTTTTATTCCTACTTATGAACATCATATAAGTAATAAAGAAAATATTCAATAAAAAAAGATTGATTACAAGCAAATCCTACGACTACATTATTATTTTTAAAACAATTAGTTCCCTTTATGAATTTAGATAAAGCAATAAGAAAACGTCACATCCCGCTGTATTTACCAATTTCAGTGTACGTGTGGACATACATACATAGGGAGGACTCATCGATCTCTGCAAGTAAGAGCTTCAGAGCATATTCTTAAATGGCTCCAGAAACAAATGGAATCTTCAGAACCTATTATTGGTTGGAACAGGAGACCTAGCTCGTCCATTGCGAAACATATTATAGAGACAGGACATAAAATTGACGTTAACAGATCTTTTAAACCTATCTATCTATGAAACGTGTTTGGGGCGTATCCTAAAGTTTGTGGAAGCCCTAGCTAGCAATTAGAAAGTTTAAACCACCTTTATGCGTTCAAGGCGACAATTCGTCATCACATTAAACCTTCCTTGGTAAATTTTGTTTTGATACCATAGCAGATGTACTATTACCTCTGCTATTTGGTTTAGTGGTCTTTATTGTTATTTTGACCTTGAATATGTCCTTTTAACTTGACCTAAGTCTATTTTCTCACCTCTTACCTCTTTATTAATTTCATATATATTCCTATGACAAGTCCGTGTGTGATCAGATTGTTCGAAATGTGTTGCGCAAATACAACACTACACGATTCAGACAAATTACGTCTTCTTATTGCTTTATCTAAATTATTATTTATATTACTATTACTCCCTTGGGTTCCGAGTGCAACATGGGGCTTCTGCTATCCTCTCTAGCTGGATCTACTATCACCCGTAGTATCTCATCTACTTCCTCTCGTAGGATCCCGTCCATGTCACCCTCACACGACCCACTCGTTGTTTCCCATTCGGGTTCCACTCGACTGTCTCCTCAGCGTGTGTGTGTGTGCCCAACTCATCTCCATTTTCTCGTGCATATTTGTTGAACGATAGATTCTTCATTAGTTTGTTCTCATAGTTCATTCTGACCAGCCGGCCATCTGATCTTCAGTATAGAGCCAGCGAGCGAAGGAGGCAGTTGTTGATAAAAGTCTTCAACATGTTGGAGATGGTTTTTACTGCACACTAGCCAAGTTTCTGACCCGTATGGAATAACTGACTGACTGATTTCACATTTGTGTTGAAAATTTGAAACTCGTTCTTTATGCTGAGGTGGATCTTGCCTTTACGATGTGATTCTGACCAGATTTGACATCTTCATCCGTGGCGTGTGCTTGTAGTTGAAATGGTGGTTCCCAGATAAGTAAGTGAAGGAAGTAATCTCTATCATATATATCGCCCGTTGATGATGATTAGTGCTGGTTGTTGTTTTCGTTTTCGCTGTTGGTTTGTCGGTTATCTTCATCACCTACCTCAGTCTTCTCTATGTTCATCTAGAGTCCTGTCTTCACAGGTGGCTTCCTCAGCCAGTTTGTTGGTTTTCACCTGCAAGTGTTCGAGATGGTGTGTGACATTAGACATAAATCATCCACGTGAGAAATCCAGACTTAGCGTAGTTTGCTAGCTCACTAGTTTTCTAACCTGCCCCAAGCCCGGGTAAAGAGAGAGAGGGTTGGGTGTGAGGCTGGGGGGACCCTACACCACAAAACCGATCAACCTCCTACAGACACCTCAGCACACACGAAAAATATGAACACTCTACAAGGAATATAAAAAACAAACTTATTCTTCGCTGCGATCGGATAGGCGAAATGTGACGTGGGCTGGTGAAAGCCTTCGGGAAGCCTGTCAGTCAGCCAGCCGATGCGCCATCTCTGGATGAAAGCAAGAATAAGAATAATGGCGACGTGGAATACGACTACTGTACACGTGTACAGCATTTTAATGAGTCGTTTAAGTAATAATGGTTAGGAGTGTGATAAAAGTTTGCGTTATCCAATCATGTTAGACTTAGACTGACTAATACTACTATCCTTCATCAGTATTCACTTAAATGAAACTTTGCTGCAATTTATAATTAACAAAACACCAATGAATACAAAAGAATTTGTTTGCTACGCTAGAGATGGCATAGATTGGCATATGCGAAACTAGCCTTCTGTATCCATGCTGAGATTTAGTCAGCGATCAACCCGTTGACGTTGGCTGATGCAACTTCCCAAATAAGTGAAGTGGTCAACGCACTCTACCACTTCACTCCCTATCTCTAAGCTAGGAGTCAATGTAGCTGAGTCCTGTAACATCATCTTACATTTGGCGGGAGCTAATCGCATGCCAAACCTTCGCAGATTGCATTATGTCGGCCTCTCACCTAGAAGGACTATATCATATCATCTGCATACTCCAAGTCAACGAGATTATTCCCTAGTAACAAGTCGATCCCTGAACTGCTGAAGTCAGTTAGTATGATGAAATTACACAGAAATGGGGATAATGGGCATCCCTGACAGACACCAATGGTTGTCACCACTTCAGATGATAACTCTCCGTAAGCTTTCAACTGGCTGACTGTATGAGTTCGAGTAGAGTGAGTGCCTTGATCAGTGCAATATATTTTCTCGGCACTCCTTTCACGGCCAAGCATCGCCCTAGTACCTCTCGGTCGACAGAATCGAATGCCGCCTTCAGGTAGGTCAAGAAATATAACGATTGTTGGATGCCGCCGGTAAGTATGCCTATGTTCCAGAATCTGTCGAAGGGTAAAGATATGATCAGTACACCCTCTCCCTGGTCTAAAGCTGTAAATCAGCTCACTTTTCCTTTAGGAAACACCAAAAGCGCCACAGAACTCCTAGAAGCCTGGTACTCAAGCAAATATGCGATTAACAAACATGTTAATATAGACCAAATCTACGAACTAATAAAAAGTAAATCATGTGACTAGAAAGTTTAACATCCAAATCAATAAAAAATGATCAATACATATGTAAACATGGTTACCGGAAGACGCAATTCTACCGCTTATGGAAAATTTAAATCAGTTCAGTTTATGCTAAAAATTGCACTGAAGATGTTGTCCAGAAGGACGACGAAAGCTCCGCAACTAAACCAACCAGCTCAGAGAACACTACTAATTGCATATCTTTGATTATAGTTGTCTGCGTTCTATCTCCAATTTTAGATGGTAGGTGTAATAGGGTAAGTAATATTGAGCTTAGGCACCGAGTGCTGAGGGTAAGGAGGGAAATCAATCAACGCGGTTGTGAAGTTACATCGACTAAGTGAGATGGTTACGACAGGTGTTACGACGCATGCATGTCTAGCCATCGTCTTCCTCGACAAGGAATGTTAGCTACTGACATAGGATTGATCAGGTTGGAAAAGAGCTAACTAGTGGTGGTCAAACGAAAACATTGAAACAGTTAGTGAAATCCATAACAGCCTGCCCGCCAATTAGGAAGGTGTGGACTGGTTGGCTAGTTGGTGTCTTCGGAATGGTAAGAACCAATGAAGGCTGAAGACAATTGGTGAATTGGTTCAAAATCCTCGTTCTCAATGGCTGATGTAGATGCAATAAAAATTCTATTGTTCTTCAATATTACCATTCTTTTTCCTTCACTCACACTTTTGTTTATTATCAGTGTCAGTGTCTGTAAGTATGGTATGTGCTTTGCACCATCTAAGTGCAAAGTACTGTTATAAGATTGGCAGGAGCCTGTACCTGCACTCACTCTTGCGAGTGAACCACTTGAAGTTGCTGATAAGTTTGTGTATCTGGGTAGTTGTGTGAGTGCTGGCGGAGGGGTGACGGATGAGATTCCCAACCGTATAATGAAGGCTAGAGTGGCATACATCAACTTAAGCCACCTCTGGCGCCGTCACGACGTTAGCCTGGCTGTCAAAGGTCGGGTATACAATGCTTCCGTGCGGGCTGTCTTGCTCTACGCCAAGCCTATGAAACCTGGCCTCTCCGAGCTGAGGATGTGAGGCGACTCTGCGTGTTCGATCATCGCTGTCTCCGCAGAATTGCTTGCGGTCGATGGCATCATCGCGTGAGTAATTCTGAGGTTCGGCGGCGTGTGTTTGAACACAGTGGAGATCATCATTCATTGAGTGTCGTCATCTGGAAACACCGGCTCCGGTGGCTTGGACATGTGCTGCGAATGTCATCCCAGAGGCTTCAGTACAGGTCTCTGTTCACTATCCTTGGGACGGGATGGAAAAGGTGGAGGGGTGGTCAGTCCATGACGTGGCGTCGTGGGATGAAGGATTTTTGTGCTAGATTAGCATCGGCCGGTGCGTCACGACTCCCTGGTTGGGGTCCGCGAGATAGCTCGAATCGATGGATCGAAACATTATCAGATATGGCCAAGAATCGTAATCAATGGCGAACGTGTTGCAATTTCTTTCTTTCTTCCCTTCCTGATAATAGTTAACGAATATTGTTTGAACTTGTTAAACATGACTGTTTGCCTTCCAGATGTTCTTTATCCGTTTTCTACTTATATAACATTACTTTTAATCTATGTTGTTTTATTATTATTGTGTGGCGCATCTTTCTTGGTGCCATATTGTACCAAGTTTTTTCTGCGTTTAAATAATACAATAAAATAATAATTATCTCTCTGGGTTTTTGATTTCTCTTTACGCTGTTCTCTTGGTTTGTGTGCTACTTGGAGGGAGAGTGGCAAGTTGAACTGGTGCATATCTGTGCAAAGTTCTATGTTGAAACCAGTCAGTCAATTATCTGTCTACAAGTTCACCTACGAATTCAATTTGTTAAGCGGAACTGATGGTTTTATGAACTTTAGCAAAACACCACCAAATAGCAGTTAGACTGTTTAAGTCATGATCATCTGCTGCATAAATTTTAGGCTGCATGAGTATTTACTCACCTTAAAAGTCTTTAAAGACACTTTATTAAAGTGAATATAATTATCGATTGCTAATCTGTTTCGACATGTGACACTTGGAAGCAACACATGCTCTTAATTATGCATTTGGTTATTAGTTTTATTATTTCTCAGAAAATTAGTGTCTTTCTATTTGCTTCATTATTTTATTCCTTTACGTTCCCCAGGGGGAAAATAGATAGGGCTTGAAGCTAGAGCTTTGAAGTTTCAGTAGCAGTGATGTTTCGTTTTACGGGATGATGCCCTACTTTCCCTCTTTAACCAGCCTTACTACCAGCGAAGCAACGTAAAAAGGAGAGCGTCGACCGGGAGTCGAACCTCCAACCACCACTTGTTTGGTTGGGGGTTGGCCAAACATTCTAACACTGGACTACTACTGGAGGCACAAAGATGTATATGTGAGGTGATGTCACTGATAGCACTGCCATCGAAGTGGCATCATTCTCCCACCCACTGATTTAGGATGCACACAGTCGGCGGGTTAAGAGAACTCTCTAAACCACTCCCCCCACACCCACAAAATGCTTGCCATTGCCTCGATGGTGAAGACAATGTGAGTTGGAGTACCTTAGGGCATCGATCCCAGTACCTTTCGATGCCTTTCTAGTATAATTATCAGCATTAACATGAATTCCGTGAAAATGTGCACAACAGTAATTGGAATAATAGTGGATAAAGCTCAGGAAAAATGACATTATGAATGGTGGTCTGTCTTAGAAATGAGAGAAAATCTATCGACTGACTGTTCTAAGAATATTCTGTCTGTCTGTCTGGATTCAACATAGAACTTGGCACCGAAGTGCACCAGTTCCAGTTGCCACGTTCCAAATACCACACAAAGGTAGACAAGAAAATGAGTGATGAAGAGAATCAATAGAGTTTTGACAAGTATAAGAGTGAAACAGAATGAATGAGTAATGGTAGAAAGGAATATGAAAGATTACAGAGACTGAATACATCTGCGCAAGCCATTGACAACGATTTTGAGCCATGTCACCTATTGTCTCCAGCCATTGAGTCCCGAGGGCGGGCCACAACCCGGAAGTCTGCATCTCCCTCCCTACCTGACTCAGTTTAACTGTCAAGGATTTCATGGATTGATGCCATGTTTATGTTTGGCCACCTATATCAGCTAGTAATGCCCGTCGGGAGGGGAGGCGATGGTTAGGCATGCGCAGCACGTGACCTAGCCATCTCAATCTATGTAACTTTATAGCCTCTTCGATTGATTTTCCCTCTTTGCCCAACACTCTACGCCTAACGTCAACATTACTCTAAGAATATTACACTTAAATAGGTGATTAGATAGACAGTCCCGGGCAACTTTGACTCTTTCTACATTCAAGTTTTTAGCAATAATTTAACTACTTTTTAGGCTTAAATACCCTAAGAATTATGTACAATGTATTGGATAAAATTTATTAACATGTTGCAGACTTTTATCAACAGCTACCAACTTCGCTGGCTAGCTCCATACTGAAGATCGAATGGTTAGAAAGAGAATCAGTAACAAGAAACTCTGGCTGGCAACAAACCAACCAACCAACAGCCAATCGCTCAACAAATATGTAGGAGAAAGTGGAGATGGATTGGGAACACACGACTGGGGAGACCGTCGAATGACATCGCGCTTAATGCAGGCCATCCATCGCTCTAGTGGAATCCCAATGGGAAGCGACGAATAATTCGTCACTTCGAGAGTGACATGGAGGAGATCGTGTGGCGAGGAGGAGATGAGAGGTTATGAGCCATTGTGTGGCTAGGCAGCTGAAGAGTATGGCAGAAGTCCTATGTTCCACTCGGAACCCAAGGGAATAATAAAAAAAATATTAATTATTATTTTTAGTATTACCAATATGAACAACAACAAAAATACCCACCTTGATATTGGTTGACCGTTCAAAAGACCAATCCTATTTTCAATTCACAAGAAAGAAAAGATACACACACAAAAAAAGAGTAACAATCAGAACAAAATGAAACCAGAAAGTGAAAAGTAGTCAGTCTCAATAGAATGCAAATGTCATATAGTGAAAATTATTTCCAAAAAACAACAAAACAAAATGGATATGATTACTCACAACCGAAGTTAAGTAATTGTTAAGCTTTAATTCAATCTGAACTTTCCCGTCGGTTGATTGGATCGAAATGCTCAGCCTCAGGTCGACATGTTGGCGCCTTCTTGTGCTGATGCTTCGACGATATGTCTGAGGAATTCAACTTGAAATAATTTGATGGATCTACCTACATTCCGTCACAAGAGGTGGCTCTCGTGGTTCGGACGGTCTAGTGGATATAACGCTTTGTTTGGTGTTTGAAACTCTATGGATACTGGGTTTTAGCCTCAGCGAAGCGGGTATGTGGAGGGGGTGGGGGTAACACCATCACCCACTCACCGGGGAATACAGGTACATCCACTAGCTGACGACGACTAGTCAATATATATAGGAGGGTGAAATGCTGCGCGTTGTCCTAGGTTTCACTGCTAGTCACCATCCAACTTGAAGAATCTGGCAGTACCATGAGTCATTGCATATTATATCCATATCATATTGACTGCCATAACAATGTGTACTGGGTGAGTGACTCGTACTACACTTAGAGTATATTAAAAAGAAGATTACATTAAATGTAACCCAGATTTTAATCAGTTTTCCTTTCATATGCGATACCTCTAAATGATGCAAAGTAAACCATCATAGTGTGTTAGACATAAAGTAACAAACCAGAAGACGTACAACTTATTTGATAAAACAACAGATTAGGCAGAAAAATATGCATACTGCTTCACTTCAATTAGTTCCTCGTCATCATCTGCTGGCTGGCTCTACGCTGACATACAGTGTTTTTTCTTTACATCAAAATAGTTTTACCGAACAAGAGGTTATTTTAGTCAATCAGTTTTAGGTATAGGTGGTGGGAAGGGTGGGGTGGGGTGAGGTGAAATTAAGCGGTGACAAGTCATCAAAACAACTAACTTATAGATGTTAGTAGCAAGATATCTAAATTTCCAAGGAGGGGTTTGGTTTGATAAAGGCCCGAATAAATCTGCTGTACGCAGCTCAATACTAGCTCATTTCGTCGATACTAATCGTATTTCCTCGAACACCTTACATGGTTTACGACTACGACTTCTACATACATACAGCAGAGGCAATCGGAATTCAACTGAACAAGCCAAATCTATGTGTCCAAAAGAAATTTGTAGAACCCCTTTCTTTGCCATGATCAACTACCTGGTCTTCTGCAGCAAGGTACATTGGCTGTAGCCAGAGGACGCTTTGCACAGATGGATACGAGAACATATTTCAGCAGTATGGTTTTACAAGGGAGAAAGAAAGTGTGCGCGAAGTTCTTTTCTAGAACACCTGATCGACTCCTGTCACTCTGCCAACCCTGACTAGGATTTTAAGATCATCATCTATCGAAACCATGCTACCTTGCCGCGTTTTCTTCGTTATAGACTTCTAAGGACAAAGGAAGTCTTGGCAATTCATAACTTTAAGCTAGACCTTTGTGTACAAAAGAAGTATTTACAATCCCTACTTCTGCCTTTGCCGTAGAGGGATAGACATTTATTTATTTAGTTAATCTATGTACCTTTCTCTTATCACTACGATTATTATTATTACTACTATTTTCAATCTGAATTGTTTCCACTTGTCATTCTAAATCCAAAATTATTATATTTTTACAATATTGAGTTCTTTCTTATCACATTTTACACCATGTTATGCAACATTTTATATTCTCCTACTGATCTTATAATTATGTACCCCTCTCGAACGTCTGTATACCTTATGAATTATTCTATATATGACGTTAATTGTTTTGCTACTTGACATTTAACTTTGATTATAATCACAAACATTTTGTCTCTCCATTCTGGAGAGACAACATAGCTGACATGCTGGTGATCTGATGGGAATATCTTACTGCTGTTACACCCCTTTTCCCCAGCAGTGCGACTTTGCCCACAGACCCTCAGCATAGTGTAAAAGAATCTTACACTATGCTGGTGACTGCTATTAGTCTAGTCCCTATCCTAACAACCTTCCTGGAATGGTAGAACCTGCAGGAACAAAAATTTCAGCCAGTGTAGCTTGTTGGGTCATTGCGATATGAAAGTGCGGTGTCCACCACCGTCAAGGTAGCAGCTATCGATCGGGTACAAACTGTATGCAATTCAATGAAAAATTTGGGGGGCGTTTCTGAATAGTTACGTATTATTACAGTGTTTACGCAATATGTTGAGCTAAAAAACTATATAATTCGTACAACAGGTAATGATAGGACTACACAGATTACACTAGTTACTGACTAGTGTCCAATCACAAAAAATCCAAAACAATCCTACAGGAGGCCCGAACACCACAGTGGTGGTAACGTCTCTGACTGCAGGCGACACTGAGTGACGCAGGTTCGAATCTCAGAAGGAGGGACATGAGTTGTTCCTTCAAGGTAACTGCAGATACGCCTTGCTGACTGGTGAGTACCAACTAGCATGAAACCTAGGTGCAGAGCCAAGGCTTCCTGTGATCAACTGCCTCCAATCATCTAGTATACTGACTGTGTACAGCATTTATCCGTCAGCACAGACTGAAGAAAATGTGTATCATTCGAACAAATTCAACATCGTGTAGACACTTCAGTGCCTTAGTTAAATATACAGAACAGGTATCATATAAAAAAATGGTGATTACAGGACTTCATCATCATCAGGTGACATCGGTTAGAGAACCTCAGAGTACTCTCCCCCAGATCATGTTGAAATCTTGTAACCAATCAATCAAATCCCTAGAAACCATTATTTGAAATAGGTGATTATTTTGTACTTTTCAGGTTTAACAAAGATCGGGTTTATCAGCAAATTAGTTGACCGTGTAGGAAAAATCAGTAATCCACAACGGGAAACTTACGAAATCCTTCCAAGTGAGGACAGGAGTAAGACAAGCTGGCTGCCTACTATCGCCAATGATTTTCCTGATTGCAGTAAATTGGATAATGCGACAAACAGCGATCCGGGCAATGAGGAAACAGGCATAAAATGGACCCACACAGAAAACCTAGAGGATATGGACTTCACCGATGACATGTAAATGTCTCATTTCCCACAAACCGGAAGATATGCACGCGAAAAGCAACAAGTTGGCAGAAGAAGCATCAAAGATAGGATTTCCTCCAGGTGAACATAGAGAAAACAGAGGTGATGAAGATTCCTGACCAACACCACCAACAGCAACAGATAACAATCAGCATAAATGGGAGGAACCTGAAAGAAACAACCTCCTTCACCAACCGACCTGGGAAGCATCGTTTCAACTACAGGCAGACTCAACTGACGAGGATATCAAAGCAAGAATCGGAAAAGCAAGACGAGCTTTCACTACTCTCAAGTCTGTGTGGAGGTCAACAGCACTACTCAGCATCAAAAATAAGATCCGGATTTTCAACTCCAATGTGAAGTCAGTGATGCTGAATAAACGGATCAGAGACTTGGCCAGCGCGTCATAAAGAGCATCTCAAACAAACTACAGACCTTCATCAACAGTTGTCCTCGCTCAATGGTACTAAAGATCAGATGGCCGGACAGAAAAGATCAGCAACAGAGATCTCTGGCAATGAGCGAACCAACACAGCAGGAACCGATTGTGAAACAAATAGGCAGGAAGAAATGGAGATGGATTGGCTGGCCATACTCTGAGGAAACAATCCATCAAGTGGCACCACTAGACAAACCACTGGTCGAGTGGAACCCGAAAGGGAAGCGGTGAGTTGGTTGTCAGTGCAAGAGTGACTTGGAGGAGGTCATGTGAAGAGGAGATGAAAGCATGTGGGCAGACTTGGAGCCAGGTGAAGACTCTAGCAGAGAACCGAACGCGATGGAGACGCACGCCTGAAGTCCTATGTTCCTCTAGGAATTAAAGGAAACAATAATATATATATATAACTCCACTTCATCGTAATGTGTAGTATAGCGTAAATCCCTTGAATGTTGTTGACAAGGTAATAATGCATAATAATATATATTCAGTAGGCCGATCCTGTTAGCGCATAGAGATACATAGAACGAAGAATGACAGGTATAATGCATTAGTTATCTCTATAGACAAGAGCATGTTATTTACTCACGCACTTTGTAGTCAGTAACCGAGGAAACTTCTCTTGAGCTCGACGTTCTCTCAGTAGACGTCTAGAACGTCGAGATTTACGACCCTGAGCAATATGAAAAGGATGAGAAGGAAACAAAATTCAACGAGTTATGTCATACCAATATTAAGGAAAGAAAACCCATAAAACGCGTTTATATAAAAAAAGAAAAAAGCAAATGAACATATTTAGTATCCGTGGTAAAAAAAAAGCACCTGAGGTTAAAAAGGAAGCGTGAAAAATAGTGCTCCATAATATACATCCATTGAAATAATTTTTTTGTTTTAAATGATACTATGAAATAAAACTCCTGTGTAGGAAAAGTGGTATGAGCATAGAATTTGAGCACTGTGGTGGTAGACTATAATTCCATTATGGAGAAAAGTTTCTTTTGATAAAGTCTCATAGTGTTATACAATGAATAATATTTACTGATTAGAAGTTAATTGGTGGATGGTGACTAGCAGTGGAATCCAGGATGCGCATTTCGTCCTATTTGGGACTCGTCATCTGGCTGTGCCTGCATTCCGCAGTGAATGATGATGTTCCCATCACTGAGGCTCGAACCCAGTGCCCATAGTTTCAAACGCCAAAGCACATCCTGGATTCCACACTGCTAGTCACCATCCACCAATTAACTTCTAATTACATGCCCAGACATATCGTCGAAGCATCTGCACAAGAAGCCGACAGACATGTCAACCTGAGACCAAGCACTTCGGTCCAATCAATCGACGGGAAAATCTAAAATTGAATTAAATATTTACTAATGCCCAGGTTTCGAGTACAATTTATTATTGCCGCTCATAATCATTTCAAGGCACTATTCCACACACAACTTTGTAACTTTGTTTGTATAATTCCACTATTTTGTATCTCTTGATTGATCAGGTCAAAATATATAGACAAACAGAAGATGTAGCAATGGGATGGATCCCCAGTATCCCCAATCGTAGCAGACATATTTACGGATATCTAGGAAAATATTAGCCCTTAAGACATTTATTCCTACTCCAAAAATATGGTGGAGATATGTGGACAACACTTTCATTACACACATAAACTCACTGGAAAGTGGAATACAATTCACATTTGAGAATAATACAGTTGAAAATAAGTAAGTTAATCGGATGACGTAACACAGTTGACTAAAAATTGGACGTGGGTCAAGTTAGTAACATTGTTAATGAAGGTAGAGATTACAAAAGGGTGGGGTAGAGAATAATATAAATGAAGATGTGAAATAATAAAATGCAAGAGACAAAATAATACAATTAGTAACACTGAAATTAAGAAAGATTACGTCCATTGTAGATTTAATGAATGAACGAATTTCTTTTGTATGCAGAGTTCAGGATTTAGCAGATGAATTGCCATTGCTTCTGCGATGTGGAGAAGTTTGATCCGTACACTTTTAGCAAGATTGCCTTGTATTCTGTAGATAACTTTGAAGTTTATTTCTGGTTTGAATTGGTGTCCAGAGTCGATCAAATGTTCAAGGATCGAGCTGCGGGGGCATCGGTTTTTTCCTTTATAAAACCATGAAGGCAAATGTTCGTTGACGCGTTTGGATTGCGAACGCTGAGTACGGCCGATATACCTGGCTACACACGAGCAAGTGAATTGGTAGATGTAATCTCTACCCTCATTAACAATGTTACTAACTTGACCCACGTCCAATTTCTAGTCAACTGTGTTACGTCATCCGATTAACTTACTTATTTTCAACTGTATTATTCTCTAACCCCACCCTTATTTGATTTTGAATTCACATTTGAGTCAGAAAATAAACAAGGTGAATTGCCTATGATGTCAGATTGTAAAGTAAAATGAACAGAAGAAGGAAAACTGAACACCAGAGTTTATAAAAAGCTAATGCATTCTGCTAATAGATATTAAGACTTCTTTAATTCATCTGTAAAGGCAGGCTTAGTTAAGTGTCTAAAAACCGAGCAGTAGCACAAAGCAGTATAACAAAAAGCCTAAACGATGAAATGAAACAGATGGAAGAATGGCTGGTTGTTGTTTAATAACTATCCTATAAAATTCATTAGGAAGATCAAAAAAGGCTAAAAGCAAAATGAAAATAACGGTGAAACTAATAATGATAACATAAATAAGAGAGAATATAAGTCATCCACTGTTATACCATATAAGGAGGGGACATCTGAGACCCTACGTACGGTTCTCAATAAAGCAGGAATTAAGATGGCATTCCAACCTACAAACTCACTCAGGTAGGACAAGCTCTGTAGGCTAAAGGACACTGTCGATTGATCCAAATAGACAAAATGACATAATTCACAAAATACCACCTTGCAATCACTGTGAGTTAAGTCAACTAAATAGGTCAGTCAGATCAGTAGATCGGGGTTTGTCACATTGGCACAATATAAGAATTTAGCGAAGTGCAGAATGATTGACCCCAACCGCGAAGATAAATCATTTAGAAAAAGAAAAACTCAGCAATTGCACTGCATGCATTAACACACAATACGGTGGGAGATGATTAAAATTCTAAGAAGTAATACATGTAGGTGGAGATAGAGAGAGATTGATTACTGAATCTTTGTTCATCGAATCTACACCCAACACATGCAATAGAAGTGACTCAACGCGAATACCATATATACGGAAAGTACTACTGTGGTGAGAGCTGGCTGCTAGCCAAAGTTGGTGGACAGTAATTGACGTCAATGTTTATGTCCCCAATACTGGTGGTGAGAAAAATAAGAACAAAGACTGATTCAACAACCAACCACAGCAGACTTTGCGTAGGCGGATACAAATTGCAGATAGATAATCTGACCTTCAAAGAAACGGCCCCACAAAGAGATGAAAGATTAACGTTTAACGAGAAACCACCAATCAGAAGACTGTGTTTCTTTGCTTACAATAGTCTATAATAATGTACATGAAAATCTATAAATATCTGTTGATTTCCTAAATAAACGATCGGTTGCCTGGCCCTTGTCTTCTGTTGTTATATATCGACCACTAGTACAGTCTTTTCTCAACCAAAGAAGGTTAATAATGGTATAAATAGCTGATAGTATTATGTAGCTTATGCGGCATGACGTATGCAACAGAGATGAAGATGACATTCATATATAGAAAGATTAAAACTCATCAGTTGGCTGGATTCAACATAGAACTTGGCACCGAAGTGCACCAGTTCCAGTTGCCACGTTCCAAATACCACACAAAGGTAGACAAGAAGATGAGTGATGAAGAGAATCAATAGAGTTTTGACAAGTATAAGAGTGAAACAGAATGAGTAATGGTAGAAAGGAATATGAAAGATTACAGAGACTGAATACATCTGCGTAAGCCATTGACAACGATTTTGAGCCATGTCACCTATTGTCTCCAGCCATTGATTCTTAGAGTCCCGAGGGCGGGCCCCAACCCGGAAGTCTGCATCTCCCTCTCTACCTGACTCAGTTTAACTGTCAAGGATTTCATGGATTGATGAGGCCATGTTTTTGTTTGGTCACCACTTACTCTTTTCCAACCTGCACCTATATCAGCTAGTAATGCCCGTCGGGGTGGGGGAGGCGATGGTTAGGCATGCATGCGCAGCACGTGACCTAGCCATCTCAATCTATGTGACTTTATAGCCTCTTCGATTGATTTTCCCTCTTTGCCCAACACTCTACGCCTAACGTCAACATTACTTACCTTATTATACCACCTAACGTGAGAAAGAGATCGTAGACATCTGTGATCAAAAACAGTCAACCTTTTCATGTCTTCAACTCGTATTGGCCATGTTTCAGAGCCATAGAGAAGGACGGAGCGAACTGCTGAGCAGTACACACGTCCCTTGGTTGATAGCCGGATGTCACGCCTACGCCAGAGATGGTGTAAGTTAGCGAAAGCAACTCGAGCTTTTTGGATCCGTGCTGAGATTTCGTCACCAATCAATCCGTTGGTGCTGATACAACTTCCCAAATAGGTGAAGTGGTCAACATGTTCTATCACTTCACTCCCTATCACTAAGCTAGGAGTTGACGTAGTCCAGTCCTGTAGCAGCATCTTACATTTTACAGGGGCGAATCGCATGCCAAACATACGAAGATTGCTGCTCAAGGTGTTCAGAAGACTCTGCTCTATTTTGTCAGCATCCTCCCCTAACAGGACTATGTCATCTGCATATTCTAAGTTCATAACACTATTCCCTGGTAACAGGTCGATTCCTAAGTCGTTAAGTTCAGTTAAGGATACTTTCATCATCATCAGTGTCGTGAAAGAAGCTCCATATGGAAATCACACTGAGAAAGAGAGAGAGACAGAGAAGGAGAAAGCGGAATCAAAAACAATAAATAAATAAATAAAGTACCTTGGTAGGGTGGGAGTTGAGGATTTACAGTTTCGATAGTTTACTTTTAACGAGTTGACTGATTTGGAAGCCTTTTTTTTTATCTAAACACTGTTGACCTTATGCGATTATAACTTACTAAATTACAAATATTTAAACTTAAAATATCCACGAACTGGGTGACAGATTGTGTGTGTGAAAACAAAATAATAATAATAATTACATTACAGATGTTAGAGTTAGTAAAAGTTGTTACTTGAAAGGTAAAACAGATCACCAAGAGTATATATATTTTCCTAGTGTTGGTTCGCGAAGATTTGATTCGATTAGTTACAGGATTTTGTCATGATGAGCTGACATCGGTAAGAGAACCGTTGGAGAACCATCACGGAGAAGTAGTGGACAGCCAACTGTCTCGTCAACCTAGTTTACGACTCTTCAGCAATACACACCCACTGCCAGGATTCGAACTCAGGATCTTCTGGTTACAAGGCAAGCGAGCTCGTAGACCATTCATCAACCACTGCGACCCAATCCAATGGCCAGTTCATGAATTCCAACTTCTGCCAATAATTGATATACCATGACCACTAGCTAGTAGCATCGACGAGTATTTGTCATCACACCCGACCTATTGTACCCCACTGGTTATAACTTCTCTCACTAGAATCCAAGCAACCGCCTACCTGAATATAGCTAGTCACTTCACTTATTAAATTGCCTCATACTTCCAGTGCGTCGGTGGCACAGCGGTTAGGTCGCTCGCCGACCATGCACATGGTCCGGGGTGCGATCCCCGGCCGACGCACTCCTTTACCTCGCTAAGCCAGAAATAATGCTGGTAAAGAGGAAACGTTGGGCATGAGGCTAGCAACGCCATCCTGTAAAATGAACACTGCTACAGAATCTCCAAGTCACTAGCTTGAAGCCCTATGTTCCACTGGGGAAAGTGAAGGAAAAAAAAATACTTCTGTTTATTATCTACCTCTCTTTACTCTCTTCGTTTGCTTTGTGTGCTACATGGAAGGAGTGTGGCAACTTGAACTGCTTGTATATCTGTGCGAAGTTCTACGTTGAAAGCAGTCAGTCAGGGCCAGTCGCTAGTGAGCATCACAGTGGGGTAGGTACAGCAGGTCGGGTATAAGGACAGATACTCGCCACCCATGACACTGGATAGTGCCAGTCGCTCTATATCGGGAATTATTGGCAGAAGTTGGAATTCATGGACTGGCCCCATTAGCTGAGTGGTTCACGAGTTCGCCTTGTAGCCGGAAGGTTTTAGGCTTAAACCTTCAGTGGTGGGCGTGTACTGATGAAGAGTTCCAATGGTTCACTACTAACCGATGTCAGCTCATCATGATGAAATCCTGTAACCAAATGTATATTATTCTCTTTTTGCTGAAATATATTCATTGATACTTACTTACCTCAAGACATTAAAAAAAGGAATTGACACAGTGTACTTACTTGTCTGCACTACGTGCAACTTAAACTGATTTTTTTTATTACTGAACTAACACCATCACCACCACCTCACACTAAATAAACACATTTTTTTAAACATAGAAAATTATCTGTTATTATTTCAACAGGGGAATGAAAGCTGGTGGCAAGTCGTGGAGACCGTTGAAGGTGAGCGAGAGAGGGGCGGGGGAGAATCAAATGCAATGGAGATGAGCTGTTGAAGTTCTATGTTTCACAAAGAACTCAAGGAATGAATGAATGAATAATAATAATAATAGTAACAATAATAGCGATAATAATAATAATATGAGTAATGGTGAATCCATTTATGTTGTACTGTACTGTACTGTGCTGTGCTGTGTTGGGTTGTGTTGTGTGGTTCTCACTTTGTTCACCTTTCACCTTCCATATATTGATGGATGATTCATCATGGGGAAAATTAAAGCCAGGCAAGCAAACTTACAGATAATTGTAATTTTTCATCTTCTAAAGCTTTGGCTAATCGTAGCTCAGTTTCTAGTTGTTGATCCGCATTCAATAGACGTACAAAATCAGTTGGATGCAAACCGAATAAAGCAGCAGATTTGGCTAGTTGACGACGTGCTTCAGTTGTCAAAGTACTTGCATCCAATTCAACATCTAACAAGAATTTTAAATAAATAAATAAAAAGATCAAAAATATTGAAATTCTAGGCAATTTATTATAATATGAATATGTATTATGTATGCAGTAAATGTATGATTTTAGCACCATTGCAACGCTGAAGTAGAGACTGTAACCTGTTGTTGTTAGGTATTATGTGTCAAACATAAAGGAGGCCTGATGATATTAGATAGTTGGAGGCAATCGGCCACAGGAAGCCTTGCTTGACCTAGGTTTCGTGCTAGTTGGCACTCACCAGTCAGTCAGCAAGGCGTATCTGCAGTTACCTTCAAGGAACAACTCATGTCCCTCCTTCTGAGATTCGAAACCGCATCACCCAGTGCCGCCTGCAGTCAGAGACGTCATCACCACTGTGGTGTTCGGGCTCTCGATTGACCTCCTGTAGGACTCTGGTGGGTATTTTGATTGGACACTAGTAACTAATGTAACGTGTCTAGTCCTTTCCTTGGTGCAGACTGAATTCTATCAGTCAGTCAGGTTTGCAATGTGGCCACCATTCTAGATAGCTCGCCATCACGATGCACATTGATTTGATAATATTAGATAGTTGGACACTAGTTACTAGTGTCGAGGTCAATCGAGAGCCTGAATAGTTCAGTAGTAACGTCTCTGACTGCAACACTGGGTGACGTGGATTCGAATCTCAGAAGGAGGGACATGAGTTGTTCCTTGAAGGTAACTGCAGATACGCCTTGCTGACTGGTGAGTGCCAACTACCACGTAACCTAGGTCAAGCGAGGCTTCCTGTCGATTGCCTCCAACCATCTAATACCATCAAATCAATCTGCACCGTGATGGTGAGCTACCTAGTGGGATGGTGGCCACCTTGCATACCCCTGATTGACTGATAAAATTCAGTCTGCACCAAAGAAAGGACTGGACACTTCACACTAGTTACTAGTGTCCAGTCCTGAGTGAAATTGTAGGCTTAAATATAACCCTTAACATTAAGTGGGGTTTCAGTTGTTTCTTCCTTATATAGTAAGACTGTAGACGCCTTGAGTCCTTTTTTAATTATGTTATGGTTAATAGTTCTACTGTGGTGAGAGCTGTCTGCAAGCCGAAATTGTAGACAACAACAATTTACGTCAGTGTTTACGTCCCGAATCGGAATCATGAGAAATAGACAATTATAAAGCTTAACCTTGAGCAACTCAACAACCAATCACAGCAGACTTAGCGTGGGCGGATGCGATTCGCAGATATATGGCTTAACTCTCTAGGAAACGGTTACAAGCAGTACAGGATAGTCTTGAGCAAGAAAACAACCAATCAGGAGACGCTGCTTCTGCGCTGACAATAATATACATAAAAATCTATAAAATATCTGTTTCGATTTTCTCAATAAACGATCTGTTGCCTGGTCTTTGTCTTCTGTAGTTACACTACTAGTGATATTTCTTTTCTTGTAAGCTTTCTTGATAAGAAATAGCATTACTTAGAAATCTAACTAACGTAAATATGTGTGTACATGTATTGGACATTTTTGATGACCATTATTTATCGAGTTCGATTATTTCACTTGCTAGTTGTTGAAAAGCAAGACAACACATGAAGAAAATAAAAGACAATTCGGCGAAGAAAATTTTCTTCATCGATGAAATGATCTTCAGAGAGGCTGTCCAGACGTATTTATATTTCAATATATTAAATATTCCCATAGTTAAATTTAGAACAACACATTTATGCGAACAATATTGTTTTCAATTAGATCTCATCAGGCTTAACTCTAATATATATATATATAAGTTTACAAATAAAAATTCAAATATAAACCAATCATGGTGTTTTGTCTATAGGATAATACGATGGTGAATATAAATTGTGCAATTAGTCATAATAGTAGTAATGATAATAATAATTATAGTAATAATAAAAATGGTCTTATCAATAATAAGGATGAAAAAGTGAGGCAATCTGTGATAACACGAATAATGAAAAACAGCATGATTAAACAAACAACTGTTCAGGTGGAAGTAGTCGATAAAGGCTAGTAAAAACAAATGAACCGATTAAGTAATGTTAGATTGTAAGGGAAGGAAATGAAACACGTTTATAATGAAGATAAGATTAAGGGATGATAAGAAAGGGGTTGAAAATATAAACAAAGGGTGGTGTAGAAGTCATTAGTTGGTTATGTCTTAATAGGCCAAGGGAGGGATAATGGCTGTACGAACTTTTTTGAATACATAGTTTAGGTTTAATAGTTCGAATGCCTATCGCCTCAGCTGTGTGCAATAAACGAATACGAAGTCTATTGGAAAGATTCGGTGGGATACGATGAATTACTTTGAAGGCTCTCGTTTTCTCGATTACATGACCACTATCAATTAAGTGTGACAAAATTGAGCTACGAATTGTTTTTGTCTGTCCTTTGCCAAACCACGATGGGAGATGTTCACTAACACGTTGGCTAAGCTGTCTAGTAGTACGCTCAATATAACTGTCGCCGCAGGTGCAGTTGAATTGATAAATGCACATAGATGTGGCAAAACTATCAAGCTTATCCTTCGTTTGAGTCCCAATAATTCGTCGGCTGAACAGTTGTTTTTTTAATCATGCTGTTTTTTTATTATTCGTGTTATCACAGATTGCCTCACTTTTTCATCCTTATTATTGATAAGCCCATTTTTATTATTACTATTGTTATTATTACCATTACTACTATTATGACTATAATGATGGTTTTGTTATCTTTACCAATTCACCAACTTGACAACTAAAAATGCCCCCAGACAGACGAACGATGATCAAGTTAGTAAACTTTATTTTGATATCATAACAGACATACTATTACTTTTGTTATTTGGTTTAGTTATCTTCATTGCTATCCTTACTTTCAATATTTCCCTTTAACTTGACCTATGTCTATTTTCTCACCCCCTAACTGTTTGTTATATATTTGCTGAGATTTTGTAAATTCCGGTTTTATAATACTGCTTTGATAAAGCTATTAGCATTAAATAGCGAAACGTCAGTAAAAACAATATCGTTTTGTTTTCCATTCATTGGGAAATACAAAAACCTTTATTATAATGAATATCATATACCCAATGCCCAAATTTTTTCAAACCGTTAAAAGTGAACTTGGTTTGAACATATATGCTACTATGACTAATTGCACAATTTATATTCACCATCGTATTATCCTATAGACAAAACACCATGATTGGTTTATATTTGAATTTTTATTTGTAAACTTATATATATATATATATTAGAGTTAAGCCTGATGAGATCTAATTGAAAACAGTATTTATATTTACCAAAAATGTATAGTAGTCCACTAGTGAGTAATAAGAATGGGGATGACGAAATTGATGTAATTACTCAGTAGTGGCTTCGAAATTAAACATAAAAAGTTACAAATTACGTAATACTCAATAACGGCACAAATGAAGAAAGAGTTAGAAATTTGATAAGGTTAAAATTGTTATTGAGTAGTGAGAAGAAAGGTAGTCGAGTGTCCATTTAACAAGTGTGAAGAAAGTGAGAAAATGTACAAAAGGAGCATGTAAGAGTGATAATAGTGAATTAATTATTAAAGTAAAAGCAAACTAATCACTAATGAAGAGGTTGAGACTATGGGAGAATAAGAGACTGGACAAACTTTTTCTGTATACAGATTCGGAGTTGTATAGACGGATTGTCAACGCCTCCTCCATACACAAACGCTGAAACCTAACACCCTTTGTATCATTCGGTCTTAACTTTTAGATAATCTTTACAGACGACTCTGGTGGAGCTACATAGCTTAAGTTCACCTAGTACTCGAGAACTGAGCTAGTAACTGTCTTGCATTGTCGTTTTGCTAACCATGCCGGATAATTTTCAGAGATGAGTTTGGAAAGTGTGAGGCCGATATAACTAGCTCCACAGTGGTAGGTGAATTTATAAACACACATTGAAGTGGCCCGTCCTTCACACATCCACTGATCATTTGTCGGCTGTAGAAATTGATCCGTAGTTCAACTGAAAAGACGGCTTTTCTCAGTGATGGTCTGGATAAGCCGTGGTTCTTCAGAATTTCAGCTGCGGTATCACCTTGAAGCCACTTCTGAGTAATTATGTCAGTTATGTCACACAGCATCCTATTACTCAAAGGTAGACTACTATACGTGCGTCGGTGGTATAGTGGTTAAGACGCTCGCCGACCATGCATATGGTTCGGGGTTCGATCCCCGGCCGACGCACTCCTTTACCTTGCTAAGCCAGAAATAATGCTGGTGAAGAGGAAAGGTTGGGCATGAGGCTAGCAACCCCATCCTGTAAAATAAACACTGCTACAGAAACTTCAAGCCACTAGCTTGAAGCCCTAGGTTCCACTGGGGAACGTGAAGGAAAAAAAGACTACTATACATTTTTGGTAAATATAAATACGACTGAATAGCCTCTCTGAGGATGATTTCGTCGATAAAGAGAAAATTTTCTCCACTGAATTATCCTTTATACATCTTTACATCTGCAAAATGCAGTTGTTAACCCTATCAAACGAAAGGAGGTTGAGATATAAAGCTTATATAGCGTTAGCCTATTATGAAAAAAATTGAAGCAAACGGCGACCTAATTAAACACACATAAAATATGACTTGTGGTAAGGCACTATTCAACATTGGACAGTGAAGCAATCGGTCGGTCGGTCGGTTTTCGACATAGAACTTTGCACATATGTGCAGTTCAAGTCGCCACACTCCATGTAGCACACAAAGCAAGAGAAGAAAGTAGAAGAAATGCATAATATAGACAGTACAGTGATAGCTGCTACCTTGACGTGGTGGTCGGGCTTGCATATCGCAATGACCCAACGAGCTACACTGGCTGGAACGTATGTTCCTGTAGGTCCTACCATGCCAGAAAGGTTGTTTGGATAGCGGTTAGACAAAAAGCAGCTACCCAATCCTACACTATGATTCAAATAAATCCACAAAATATCATGCCGGATCGGTCGAGGCCCGGATTAACAACGACCGAGCTCTCTGCTGCCGTGTCACAGAGCAGAAGTGATAAATACGCTACTGAGACACACCGAACAAAAAAAACAAACAAAAACAGGCCGCGTGTGACCGGCCTCAAGCAGTTGTCCCCTGAGTTCTGCGGTCACGCAACACTAACCTTGTGCTAAGGCATTATTCAACATTGGACAGTGAAGCAATAAAATTAATAAAACTGGTAGCATATGCTGAAAGAGAGTCTACAGCTCCACACACACACACACAAATGTATCGTAATTCTAAGAGTGAGCAATACACATATTACCTACCAATATCCATGTCACTGTCAGCTTCATCTTCTGAACCACTGTCATCTTCAAGTGCAGGTGTAGTATGCGACATAGAAGTCTGTGGGGGACAAGTACTGTCCTCATATACAAATCCTATAGCAGATTTTGATTCTTGACTCCTGAAATGTAAAAAAAAGCAAACATTAAAATTAAAATTGAAACAGTGGTTACCATTTCTGTACACATGAATAATGTCCTACACAAACGGATGACTATTGTAGCTGAAGGTAGCTACAAATATAATTTTAGATATAAGAGAGAAGATTTGTAGCTCAGGTGAATGATTTTGATAGATATAGTTGTGTTCTCTGAGCTAGATGGATGGTTTATTTACGAAGCTTTCATTACCCCACCACCAGGCAACATCTTCAGCGCTTACTTACTTCAACTTGAATTCAAGTGAGCTTTTAGATTTATTTCTCCACGAGTTAGTTTATTAGTCATCTCTCCTGGTGAGTGGTGACCTTACTTGTTTTTGTGTGTTTTCACACCATCTAGGCTGCTTGTGCTATTGTTATTGATGCTGACTGTTTCCTTGACCTAAAGTTTGACCCTTTGCGTGTGTGTGTGTGAGATTCCCTCCTTATCGATTGGTAAATTATGTCCATTTCAATTCACTGAGATGCAAGGCTTCTAAAAATTCTCTAGAATTCTTGGTGCTTCCTCTGTCTAATATTTGAACGTCGATTGTCCCAGTCGAATCGATGTCCGTTGTTGTCTGTATGCAGTGTGGCAATATGAGGGAGTGGATGTCATGCCTTTTGACGACTAGTTTATGATCATTGATACGAAGACGAAGAGGGTGTCCACTTTGGCCACTGTAGTATTTTTCGTAATCGTTACAATTTGTTTTGTAGATGATGATGTTGGTTTTATCTTCTTTCGTTGTTGAGTCTTTTGTTTGACATAGAGCCGAGGGAAGTGAAGTCAGATTATTACTGTAGACCTCCAGCCACTGGTTCTTACCACTAGTTAAGTTATGGCCATACAAAATGACTTTTTAATGCACGACAGGGTGCTAAAAAAAATCTGTGCGTATATACCCCTTTAAGATCCCCATGCGCTTCTATTCACCCTTCGACAGATTCTGGAACATAGGCATACCTACCGGTGGCGTCCAGCAATCGTTATATTTCTTGACCTAAAGGCGGCATTCGATTCCGTCGACCGAGAAGTACTATGGTGATGCTTGGCTGTAAAGGGAATGCCGAGAAAATACATTGCACTGATCAAGCCACTCACTCTACTCGAACTCATGCAGCCAGGTGAGAGCCTACAGAGAGTTGTTATCTGAAGTGGTGACAACTAGTGGTGTCCGTCAGGGATGCCCATTATCCCCATTTCTGTTCAATTTCATCATAGATGTACTAATGGACTTAACCCTAACTGACTTCAGCGACTCAGGGATTGACTTGCCACCAGGGAATAATCTCGTTGACTTAGAATATGCAGATGATATAGTCCTTCCTGCTAGGTGAAGACGCTGACAAAATGCAGAGTCTTCTGAACATCTTGAGCTGCAATCTAAGAATGTTTGGCATGCGATTCGCTCCCGCCAAATGTAAGATGATGTTACAGGACTGGACTACACTGACTCCTAGATTAGAAATAGGGAGTGAAGTGGTAGAGCACGTTGACCACTTCACTTATTCGGAAAGTAGCATCAACCAGCGCCAGTGGGTTGATCGCTGACGAAATCTCAGTACGGACACAGAGGGCTAGTTTCGCATATGCCAGTTTACGCCATCGCTGGCGTAGACGTGATATCCGGCTGTCGACCAAAGGGTGTGTGTACTGCTCAGTAGTCCGCTCCGTCCTCCTTTATGCCTGTGAGACCTGGCCATTGAGAGTGGAAGACATGAAAAGACTGGCTAGTTGTCTTTGATCATAGGTGCCTGTGCTCTATCTCCCGTGTTAGGTTGCCGGTGTAATAGGGTGAGCAATATTGAGGTTAGGCGTTGAGTACTAGGTAAGGAGGGGAAATCAATCGACGAAGCTACATCGACTGAGATGGTTAGGACATGTGTTACGCATACCTAGTCATCGCCTTCCTCGACGGGCAATGTTACCAGACATAGGGTAAGGCTGGAAAAGAGCTAGCGGTGGTCAAACCAAAACATGGCACCAGTCGATGAAATCCACAACAGTTAGTTTAAGCCAGTCACGTAGGGAGGTGTAGACTGACTTCCTAGTTGGGGTCCTCGGGACGGTGAAAACTAATGGCTGGAAACAATTGGTGACATGGCTCAAAATCGTTGTCAATGGCTAGCGCAGATGCATCCACTCCTTGTGACTTATAATTTCCAATGAAACTATATCGTTCTTCGTTATTACTATTCCTTTTGTCTCATATCCGTGTCTATTGTCTCTATTTTGCGTTCCTTTTGACTTTCTTCTCTTGCTTTGTGTGCTACAAGGAGGGAGTGTGGCGACTTGAACTGCTGCACATCGGTGCGAAGTTCTATGTTGAAAACAGACAGATAGACAGACCATGCGCTTCTTTTACCATCATAACCTAAAGGAATGTTATTTCATATAGCAAAGCTCTAATTTCTAAAACTATGACCATAGATTTTGCCTTTTAAGATCGTTACGAGATTTGTGAAAACTATAAGTTATTGTATTTCTTCTCTCACGGGAAGATAAACAACACGGCGGTGCGGAAAAAGATTCAACACATTGAAAATTTGATTCTGCAGTACTCTAATCTTCTAAATATTAACTTTTCAGATGAAGAATTATTTCCAAAACACTTACTTTTTTGTTGCAGCTTCTTCGTCTTCTTTTCGACGTTTTTCTAAGTCGCCATACTTTTCATCCATTTCAATTTGCTTCAGTGCCATCGCCTCCGTAACTACGGTGAGAAAAAAAATAAAATAACGACGTTTAGATAAATGTCCCTCATGAAAACTATTCAGTTTTTGATTGGACGCTAGTAACTAGTGTAACGTGTCTAGTCCTTTCTTTGGTGCAGACTGAATTCTATCAGTCAATCAGGGGTATGCAATGTGGCCACCATTCTAGGTAGCTTGCCATCACAGTGCAGATTGATTTGATGATATTAGATGGTTGGAGGCAATCGGCAGGAAGCCTTGCTTGACCTAGGTTACGTGCTAGTTGGCACTCATCAGCACGGCGTATCTGCAATCTAATATCATCAAATCAGTGTGCACCATTATGGCGAGCTACCTAGAATGGTGGTCACATTGCAAACCTGACTGATAGAATTCAGTCTGCATCAAAGAAAGGACTAGACACCTCACACTAGTTACTAGTGTCCAATCAAAATACCCACTACAGTCCTACAGGAGGTCAATCGCGAGCCAGCCTGAATAGCTCAGTGGTATCGTCTCTGACTACGGGCGGCACTGGGTGACGCGGATTCGAATCTCAGAAGGAGGGACATGAGTTGTCCCTTCAAGGTTGTAGATACGCCTTGCTGACCGGTGAGTGCCAACTAGCACGACACCTAGGTTCAAAGCTTTCTGCCAATTGCTTCCAACTATCTAATATCATCAAAACTATTCAGTGCGTCGGTGGCAGTGGTTAGGACTCTCGCCGACCATGCACATGGTCCGGGGTTCGATCCCCTGCCGACGCACACCCGATATCTATGGTCGGCCTGCAAAATTTGGGCTACCGATATCCATGCTGAAAATTCCATACTTGTACTGAAAATACAGTGTGGCATCAAGCTGTAAATATAAAATATACAAATAAGAGACAATATGTGCTCAAGTACTTCATGCATTGATTTGTTAGTAACAGATAGATGGATTAGAACAACAATCTTAGGGAAACTACTATCCTCAGCATAAGTTGAACCAGCATCACTCAGTACTGAAGTTAACGAGTTAAGCGTAATCTCCGAAAACGTGTAGCTGAACACTATCCAGTCGGGTTAATGAAAGGCGAACGTAGAACTGCGAAGTCGTCTATCTGTGATCACCTGTTAGAGTCAGGTCATTTAGCCCCACGTCATTTATCTTTCAAAGTTATCTACATGGCAAAATCGAATCGATCCAAAAGTTTACGTTTTCTTCACTTATGCATAGCCGAAGCTTTAGCTATACATGAACAGAAACCTAAATTATGTGTTCAAAAACGTTTTGTTAAACCCCTTTCTTTACCTTGGTCATAGTAATGTTCTTTCTAGTTTTTATTTTATTTTACCACTTGAATTCTTTCCACTTCACTTCACATCTTCATTCTTATCGTAATCATACTCTTATTTTATAAAATTTTTAGACAACACTTGACATTTTTAAGACATTTTTCAATTCACTTATAAAACAATCTTTAATAATTTTGTAATTTATCCACTTCAACTCTACCCCTTATAACATTTTAATTATCGTTATTCTTATCACATATATGTATATTGACTGAGCAATTGTTTAGTGCCACTTAATAACCTTTTCTGTATTATAAATACGAATGTACAGCTTGAAAATGAAGTCGTTGAAAAGAAATTTCTTCGCTGAACAAAAACTGTGTTTTTACTTATGAATAAATGGGTATTTTTCGTGATTTAAAAACTATGACTACATTGAAACCCACTTAACTGAATATTTGGTTCAGTTAGAAATTATGATCACATCAATTTTTTTTCCTTCACGTTCCCCAGTGGAACATAAGGCTTCAAGTTTCTGGAGCAGTGGTGTTTCTTTTTTACGGGATGGGGTTGCTAGCCTCATGACCAACCTTTCCTCTTCACCAGCATTATTACTGGCTTAGCGAGGTAAAGGAGTGCGTCGGCCGGGGGTCGAAACCCGGACCATGTGCATGGTCGGCGAGCGTCCTAACCGCTGTGCCACCGACGCACAGATCACATCAATAGTAGATAAATATCAGAATCTACGGTATATTATAGCGATTTCAAAAGTTGTTGGTGTGTCGAAATTAGCTGTTAAAAAATAATCCGATTGTTTTGCGATTACTTTTTTTTCTAATCACTATTAAATGGAACTTTTTAAATTCTTCACTCAACTCAAAAAATTTCAATAAAAGAAGTCAGGTTTATGAAATATATAGACAATTTTTTCATTTTATACTAACATTATACACAGTGGAAAATATCCATACCTGATGCGTATTCATTATGAATGAGACAACGATAACGTTCATAGTTACATAATCTTGCTTCAATTCTTTCTGTTGATGACAGTCTAAATTTAGATTATAAAAAATCTTCCAAGTGGTAAACATACTTGATGTCTTCAGTTACTTGTGTATCATAGTGTTCTAGACCAGCTCGAACATCAAAGCGATCGATCATAATAGATGGATCACCGATCCATGGCATCCTTATTGATATTACAAAAAGAAGAGGGGAAAAAATATATGAGGAAATTAGTTTTAAGAGAGGTGATAGATAAGGTGAAGACTTATACGGTACAAACAAAAAAGTACGACTTAAAGTTTCCTTTGAAATGCTCTTACTATAAATTCAATGTAAGGTACTAAATTTGAACATTAGTCAAAAGAACAGAGATGACGTCTCTAATGCATTAAACACAAAGGGATAAAAACGGAGATGCTGAGAGGTCGGTGGGCTTTCGACATAGAACTTTGCACATATGTGCCGCAGTTCAAGTCGCCACACTCCGTGTAGCACACAAAGAAAAAGAGAAGAAAGTAGAAGAAATGCATAATATAAACAGTAAACAGAGGTGTGAGACAAAGGTATAGTAATAACGAAGAACAAAACAGTTTAATTGGAAATCATAAGGCACAAGGAGTGGATGCATCTGCGCCAGCCATTGAGAACGATTTTGAGCTATGTCAGCAATCGTTTCCAACCATTGGTTTTCACCGTTCCGAGGACCCCAACCAGTCAGGAAGTCTACACCTCCCTACGTGGCTTAGACTAACTGTTGTAGATTTCATTGACTGGTTCCATGTTTTGGTTTGACCGCCGCTAGCTCTTTTCCAACCTTACCCTATGTCAGGTAACATTGCCCGTCGAGGAAGGCGATGACTAGGCATTGATGCGTAACACATGTCCTAACCATCTCAGTCGATGTAGGTTCACAGCTCCGTCGATTGATTTGCCCTCCTTACCTAGCACTCGACGCCTAACCTCAATATTGCTCACTTTATTATACCACTTCACGCGGGAGATAGAACGCAGACATAAATAATAAGCAAAGCTGGGTAGGCAAAAGGGGTCTATGCAAGCTGCACAGCCATGCTACCATGAAACTAATTAGCAGCACAGCCTAGAAGCTACACGTGCGTGTATGTAATTCTTGAGTGATACTATGAAAGTCTAGGCGCCAATTTGAGGTGGAGAATGAATCAATGACTGAGAAGTTACTCATATGTCATTTATTTAAGCACATACTTAGCAGAAAAGAATACGCAACACAAAATAACCAAATAATATTATAAGAAGAGAAATAAAAAAGGGTTGGGAAATCACAGAATGAGAAAGGTAAGCACACTCACAACGTGCATTGAAAGAGAAATTTAATACTTTAGATTGCAAAATAAAAGAAATTCCAGAGTATACGCCAGTAAACCTCACTCTGGGTCATTTATGATAATGTCTTAAGTGTAAGCACTGTGGTTACATGATCTCCCGAGCGTCATTCACAGAGTCGTAATGCGTGAATGTATACTAATCGAACACATTTATCCGTGTCATGGGCTTACCACCTCACCACTTTTCCAAATTAGTCTCAAAACTCCTCAATAATGAATGACATGTACGCCACCACGATAACATTCGTAACCTACTTCCAAACCACCAGTCATAGTATCAAGGTGGAGTCACGTACTGAACATCGGTCTTCAACCAATCAAAACACGCGTTTTCGGACGTCAGAGTTACTCATACAGTGTCGCTAGTGAACGCGCACGAATACAGAGGGCTAGGTTCGCATACGCCAGTTTTCGCCGTCTCTGGCGTAGACGCGATATCCGACTATCGACCAAAGGGCGTGTGTACTGCTCAACAGTCCGCTCCGTCCTCCTTTATGGCTGTGAGACCTGGCCATTGAGAGTGTAAGACATGAAAAGATTAGCTGTCTTCGATCATAGGTGTCTGCGTTCTATCTCCCGCGCGAAGTGGTATAATAAGGTGAGCAATATTGAGGTTAGGCGTCGAGTGCTAGGTAAGGAGGGGAAATCAATCGACGAAACTGTGAAATTACATCGACTGAGATGGTTGGAACATGTGTTACGTATGCCTAGTCATCGCCTTCCTCGACAATGGGCAATGTTAGCTGATATAGGGCCAGGCTGGAAAAGAGCTAGCGGCGGTCAAACCAAAACATGGCACCAGTCGATGAAATCCACAACAGTTAGTCTAAGCCACATAGGAAGGTGTAGACTTCCGGGTTGGGGTCCTCGGGATGGTAAAAGCCAATGGTTGAAAACAATTGGTGACATGGCTCAAAATCGTTCTGAATGGCTGGCGCAGATGCATCCACTCCTTGTGACTGTTGATTTCTAATTAAACTGTTTTGTTCTCCGTTATTACTATTCCTTTGTCTCACACCTCTGTTTGCTGTCTGTAATATGCGTTTCTCCTACTTTCTTCTCTTGCTTTGCGTGCTACATGGATTGTGGCGACTTGAACTGCCGCACATATGTGCAAAGTTCTATGTCGAAAACCGACCGACCGCTAGTGAACGCAGACAATCCCATAGAGATAGCAATGATCAAACGATGTCATGAAACATCCTCAAACTGAAGAGCTTACGAAAGCCCAGAAAGGCCGTACACACCAAAGCATTGTAAAAATAGTCTTTGACGGTAAGCCTAACACTGCAACAGCACCAGGGGAAACGTCAATCGGTGGGTGTATTGCACTCCTCTTCTTGAGAAGATTTGTAATATAACTGTAATCTTCCCGTTACGAAGTAGTTTTGCAAGCTTTGAAAAGACTGTGAAGCCACTAATTCTCTTCAAAAGAATCTGTATTAGCTAATTTGTGCAGTGCTAATTTGAGGGGAAATTAGCGAGTGACAAAGAAATGTAACATACTGCATGAAAATTGACAGCAAGTACGTCTGACCAATGACTGACTGACTGATTCAACATAGAACTTTGCACCGATGTGCAGCAGTTCAATTCGCCACACTTCACTCAGTACACAAAGCAAGGGAAGAAAGTAAAAAGAAACGCAAAATAGAGACAGTAAACAGAGATATGAGGCAAAAGGAATAGTAATATCGAAGAACACTATAGTTTTACTGGAAATCATGAGTCACAAGGAGTGGAAGCATCTACGCCAGCCATTGGTGTTTACCATCCCGAGGACCCCAACCAGGAAGCCAAAATACACCTTCCTACGTGGCTTAAACTGACTGTTTTGGATTACATTGACTGGCTCTTTTCCAACCTGACCCTATGTCGGCTAACATTGCCCGTTTGACCATTAATTCTCCTTACGGCTGCATTGATGTGTAGCTAGTCATGACTCCTCGGACAGCTCTTTCAGTGCAGAGTCCCCGTAATATATGCCTAGTGATCATAGCTTTAATCAGGATTATTACAAGAACTACTGGATGGCGCAGATACACATCATTTTGCAGTCAAGCACCAGGTATATGAGGATTTTAATCTGAAAATAAAAACATGACCAATATACCACTGACTAATTTTAAAATTTGACAAGTGGTTGTGCATCCTATCGACTGACTGACTGGTTTCAACGTAGGACTTTGCAGAGATGTGCAACGGTTCAACTTGCCACTCTCCATGTAACAGACAAAGCAAGAGCAGAGAGATTCAAAAGAACTGAAGTGAGCTTAAATGTGAGGGAGAAGAATGGTAACATGAAAAAACAAAATGGTTTATTAGGTGTGAGAGATCAAAAGAGTGAATGCATATGCGTCACTGAGAACGATTTTGATTTTATAAGACGTAAGATTGTGTCATTTGACAAATATACCAAGTCACTGGGTATCTTTAGCACATATTACAACTCAAGATTAATAGGGCAGTGAGTGAGTGTGTGACTACCACTGTTTTGTTTCCCTGTGATAAAACCAGAAAGTACACATCATTTTAGGCTCGTAGGCAATCAGGATAACATTGGGTAGACAGAGAATCTACATTGAACATAATAGTGGAAGCCTACTGAACCGCTCACTATCCTGATGGATAATCCTGACTAGTTTCATATAACGTTAGATAACCGATATTGCTATAACAGATATCAACCAACTTCGTAATTGCTGTCAGTTTTAACAAAACAAAAACGCAGAGAATGTCTGGAGAGTTGGGGGCTACGAATGGCAGGTTATTTAAAAAAGGTGCAGCTGCGCCTATGGTCCTTTTCCTAAACACAGCACTATAACTGCATACTGAGGCCATTGTTAGTGACAGCAGAAACTAGCACATTTAGTTTCCAAACAATAACTACGCCGCATTCATCAAGGAATACCTGCCTATGCCACTAATTTTGCTTTCAAGCTCTACACACTTCAAATGTAAACCATAATGTGGAATTATTTTCAATGAACATAAGAATATATGGCAAGGGAACAACTTGAAATTACATATTGTTTGGGTTTTCAGCAGCTTTCGTTACTTCTGAGTCCAAATGAAGCTTCGAACTCCTGCCGAAAACACGCAAGAATTTGATGGGATCCTGTTTCTATAGAGAAAAACTATCAACAACAAAGCAAATCCTTACAATACGCTCATAATAGTCTCTCCTTCTCTCTGCCCTTCTCTTATAATCAACCATCAAGGTCTTAATGTGCTTTTCTTGCTTGCGTGCTTCTTGCCACATTTTCAGTATTATTTCTTAAATGTATTGCGGAAGCAAGTACCACTGAAAAATCAGCTCCCAGTGCTGAGTTGTTTCGTAAAACGCCCAACGTTAAAGACCTGCTCTCCTTGACCTTAACTTTCCGCCTTTTCAATGTCCAATAGATTTCACACTTCAGTTATCTGTTTGAAGACAGAAGTCTTCAAGTCTGTGTCATTGTTCTTAATGCTAATCTTGTCTTTAACGAGTCGACTGAAGGCGCAAACACTAGTTATTTTTTGGAGCCAGTTGCAGCATTTAATGTCGCTGTAGGAGAATCATTACTCTATATATTCAGTCCAATATCCAGTATCGTTTTTACGAGCTAGTATAAACCAATTTGATTTCTTTGTGCTCGCCTCTTGATTGTGAAGTAAAGGCTCCTGGTCTTCGGTAAGCTTCTGCGTAGTTCGCCCCGCACACTCGACTATCGTAGCTTCGGTTCACTCCAAAAAGGAGTGGTGCTGGGATTAATTATTTGTTGGTATTATGCGGTGCGCTAAGACTTTGTAAGTGTAGTAGTTGGAGTGGTCAGGAAAGTAAGACAGGAAAGAATGTGAATAAGTGAAATGACGAATTTAGATGCCTACCAATGAGTGGATTATGGGATTTTAAGGGGATAGACCATTTGGACGCAGTCCTTGTGTGGCTGCTTGATTGTCCAGCCTTCGATTGAAGCTGTTCGCAGACGGTGCAGTAGCTACATCTGCCGGTAAGTGGTTCCAGGGACGGCAAACCCGCAGTGAAAAGAAGTGGGAGCACACCCGGGTCCCTGCCTTCTGGTGAGCTATCCTTCTGTGATTTCCACGAGGAGGCCTCTACCTACTCAACAGCAGAACACCTTTGTTTGGGTGATTCTGGTCATTTGTTATCTTGTAGGCAGTAATCAAATCCCCACTAAGCCGATGGTAGCTAGATGTGAGTAGGCCCAATTTCTTTAGCCTTTCATCATACGGTTTATTTCGGAGACCCACCACTCATTTTTGTGCTCGTCTTTGCACTCTTTCCAAGAGGTTTGCGTCTCTTCTAAGCAGTGGGGGTGAAATGATATTATGTACTTCAAGGTGTGGTCTGACGTACGTTTTGTACAACCTTGGAAAGAGCTTAGGAGTGAATGCACCTAGTTCTCTATGTACAAAGTGTATAACCGCATATGCCCTCGCTATATCCCCCGTGTAATTTACGCTTGTGTCCATTTTCTCCGTTAGAACTAGACCTAAGTCACGTTCTGACGTTGTGCAGGACAAGCTTTCATTGCACAGGGTGTAACTTGCATTCTGCAGTCCACAGGTGCGTAACTTCACTACTTTGCACTTTTTCAGGTTGAAAGTCATGCCACTGGCCACCGCCAAGTCTTCCAAAAGGTTTAGATCTTCCTGCAGTCTATCCGAGTCTTCCGAACAGTTTATTGCTCTCCATATCTTTACGTCGTCAGCGCATAGAAGAGTCGGGAAGCTTAAACGACATGGTAAATCACTGACAAAAATCAAAACATCAGTGGCCCTAGGATAGAGACCTGATGACGAAGCGTGCCAAGATGATCGGATTGATTGACTTTAGTTCGGAACTTTCTTTCAGCTAGGTAGTCCTTCTACCTTAACTGTGTTGGGTTTCATGAAGTCTATAAGTCCTGTCCAGGTGCTTCCTGATATGGTCGTCAATAATACTTTTCGGTACTTTTGATACCACTGGTATTAGCTCTACTGGTCTATAACTAGAGGCATTTTTCCTATCCCCATCCTTAAAAATCGGAGAAAGGATGGCTCTTTTCCATTCTCTTGGCAGTTCCTTCAAATTCATCAATTGTTAAAACAAGTCGCATAAGGGCCTACAGAGAGCTTCGGCACACTGTTTCAGAACAGATGGTCTGATGTCGTCACAACCTGAGAACTTTACAGATGTGAGTCTCCATAGTTCTATTGCCGGGTGTAGCCAGTAGGTTTTCCTCCGGTGAACTTATAGTGCCGCCAATTTGGTTCGTACCAGTAATGCCCACATTGCTGTATAACTGTTTGGTGAAGGTTAAGCTGAATGTTTCAGTCATCTCTTGACTAGTGAGGTATTGACCGTTTGGGCCTGCTAAGGTGCATGCTCCCTGGTCAGCTGGTTTTCTCTCGGACATGAGTCGGTACAGGCTTTTGGGGCTCTCCATTGGGTTTTGACAAGTTAGCCTGAAATGACCTCCTCTCACTCCTGACTCTTGTGCTGCACCGGTTCCTAAGTTCCAGGTATGCATCATGATCTGTCTGACTCTTGCATACTCGCCACGTAGACCGAGCCTTCCGCTTTGCTTTCAGAGTACGTCGCGTACCTCTCTTCAGCCATGAGGACCTTTTTTGGCTGTGTTGTGACTAAAGGAACAGTATCCGAGATTGCTGTGTAAATAATCTCCTTTACCTCTTCACAGTGTTCATCCACAGATAACTCAGCCCATTCTATGGGCAACTCTGCGTCGGACAAAAGCCTCCGCGTTTCAGTAGATTTAGACAGAATTTTTCCTGAGCATACCCCAAGCCAAAGTCCAGTGATGGGGCATTGAAATCTCCAGCTATGGTGGTTTGGTCACAACCCAAGTCCCGTATCCCTGTGATGGTGTTGAGCAGTAGCTGGTTGCGCTCCGCCCCACAGGTGAGTGATCGGTAGACGCCACCCAGTAAATGCTCATTATGACCTACGGTGAAATGACGTGACATGGAGTCTGGGAGTTAAGTGAGTGGTGGGTCCATTGCACGTGCACAATTAAGTTGCTTGTCAAAGTACACGGCAAATCCCCCTTCCTAGTAATCCCTGTCTCCTGTGACTGGAGCCATATCACTTGCACTGATTTCGTTGTCAACGGTAGTGGGGTTTAACCAGGTTTCAGTAAGGATTATTATTTTAAGGTGAAGGTGTGACTGGAGGTTTCGGAGTTCACCTACTTATCCTCTCAGCCCTCTCACTTTGCTATAAAAGTAGCTGACAGTAAGTCTCACAACCTCAGCGTGTTGTGGAGTAGTTGACGTTACATTGTCCGCTGGTGGAGTACTTAATATTGAGACTTCGTTTGTTTATCTTGCTGTCTGGAATCCCAGCGCTCGCTGGCACTCACCTGTTTCTCTTTGCTTACATTTGCGATCGTATCTATGTGACTCGTCTCACAGGTGGTGAAAATGTGAATCTTGTTCCTTATGGTGAGTGACAGCAGAAGATTTCCGAACTGGTTTCGGGCTGATGAAGGCACATCTTGCCTTTCCAATATTGTCTGGATGGCTTTGACATCTTCGTCCGTTCCTACTGCCTGTGGTTGAATTCCTGATTCCTACATAAGTGAAGGAAATAATCTCTGTTAAATGTCTCCCGTCGATGGTGATCGGTGCTGGTTGTTGTTGCTGTTAGCTGGTTATCTTCATCACTTCCGTCTTCTCTATGTTCACCTGCAGTCCTGTTTTCTCCGCCTCTTCAACCAGTTTGTTGGTTTTCGCCTAAAAGTATTCGAGTTTATTTGACATTATACATGTATCATCTATGAAATCCAGATCTTCTAGAGTTTTATTATCGGCTCCCTGTAAGACTAACTGCCCTTCTTCAGTATACACACACTGCAGCATTATTAACCAAATGTTTAAATTTTGTTGGTTCAGTGTTAATATCTTTTTATAATATGTGTAGACAGGTTAGTTTGCAATGTCAAATGTTTACTACATAAAAGACTGTTATGATAATTTAGTACAATAAGTCCTGCCAACCGACCTTACCTTCAGTTCATACTACCTACATTGAACTCTAACTATAGTGTTCTGCTGAATCTTGCTCTGTAGTACCCCTTTACCAGCTATAAACATACGCTTTTAATCTAATTTGCATGCTTATATTATATGTTTACGCAGACACATGTGTGTACACACACATATGTGTACTTTGTAAACATTTGTCAATTTATTGTTGAAAATTACTGTCAAGGAACTTAGCCCTAAGTTCCTATTCTAAATAAATAAATAAATAAATAAATAAATAAATTTATTCTCATAGTACAGTACATGAGGGACGCCAGTTTACAGGCATCATCAAATTGTTACAGAAATAGAACCATATAATTTAATCACAATTTACAGCCAGTAGCAAGATATGCTTTACATGTTCGATGGAGATTATACATACACTTGATAAATGTTAATTCCAGTAGTATAAAACAGCCTTTTCACTTATATACAATCATTTCTGTGCAAAGTTGGAAAAATCTGCTAGATTGTCAGTGAGTGCAACACAACAGGAAATACAGGAGTATTGTCTTCGCATTAACAAAAAAACCAGGTCTTTGGTGGATGGATTATAAGTGCCTGGGAAAAAAATAAAGCTTGAAGTAAATATTCATACATAACTTTGTTGTGTGCAGAGTCCTCGAATTATAGTTCATTGATGTGTTATTTTGAAATCAGTGATGTGTTTATCTCATTTGATCTGCAATCTCATTGTTGGGAGTAAGTACATAAGCTTCGGA